CAGTAGTTTAAACCACTGCTGACCCACAAACGACCAGCTTCCTTAGGGGGAAAACTCCCCCCCCCCGGGGGGGGGTCTCATGCCTCCTGCACCATCCTCTTGATGTATTTCCTCTTCTATGCAGATGGACTGAGGTTTCAGAATAGCCTTAGCTTGGATCCTATGTGGGTTTGCAGGAGTAAAATGCATTTATTAGAAATTCTAAGTTACCTCCATCTCTAAAATATGCATCTAGCAGGTTGCCAGATTTATTGGGACTCAGCAGGGACAAGCCTGGGAAAGAAAGTTTTTTGGGGTAGCTTAATTACTGGTCTGTAATTGCTTTTAATCCTTGGCTCTGAGAACAAAATATGAAAAGAGTTTAAGGTCAAGTGTTTCAATGCTTTAAAGCAGGGGTGAACAGAAAGTAGGTCTCCAAATATTTTGGACTTCAACTGTCAGCATTCCTGACCATTATCCACGCTGGGAGGGACTCCTGGGAGTTGAAGTCCAAATCATCTGAAGTTCTACTTGCTGCCCACCTCTGCTTTGATGCGCCATTCATTGTGAGAACACCATTCCTGGCAACAGTGCTGACCAGGGATACAGACAAGTCCTGTGAGGAAAAGCAGAAGGAAATAAATTGATGCAATTCCCACTGTGAATGGATGGGTGAACAAGTGGTGTTCTCAGACCAAAGGAAGCTTGCCTTTCCTTTGATTTCCATGAGCACTTGGAAGTGCTGTTTGCTTTGTGGAAACAGGAAAACTGCAAGTCAAAATCAATCAAATAGGGACATTGTGCAAAAATCTGAATATTTTTCAGAGTTGCACAACTTCTCATTAGAACTAAAGCATGATATTGCACATTTGTTTTGAATCGCACAATTTCCATTTGCACAGTTTTTGAATGCAAGAGTATCTTTATGAATTGGCAAACATTTTGCAAAATACATGTGCCTGCACATGTTCATGTTTAGGATTTCCAAGAAGCATCTTGCAGCCTTGCTTATACCTGTTTCCACCTAACAACTTAAATGGAATCACTTGGATATTTTAAGAACTTTGAGCACAACTTTGTTTAACATATTTCAGTTTGCAGACAAGACCACAATGGGCTCTTGGCTGATATATTTTAACTAGTTTAGGCTAAAAAGTTATCAGGAAATGAGTGATACTTGGAGAACATGCATCACACTTTTATACCATTTCAAATCAGGGTGCTGTCAGTATTCCTAGACTATCCATCCAAAGACATTGGCTTTGTCCACACATTACAGTAAGTCAGAATTCTAAAGATTGCCACATTGCGTGCACTCCAAGCCAAGAATAAACCATGGCTTGTGATTCTGGCTTGCTGAGAAGCTCCTGATGTGTATATCTGGATATCCCACTGGCATTAGAGTGGCCACATGTCCTTTTTTTATTTGCAAAGGACAATTCTGTATTTGAAAGTCTGCCAGAGGAGTCCCCTGTATTTTGAAGACACCCTCTGTGTCAATGGCTGTCTAGTCCAAGACTGGTAGGATAAAGACCCATCAGGAGAACTGATGGGCCTTGACGTTGCCCTCCAAGAGCACCTCAGTGAATAGGACAGAAGCATGTGTACCTGGTTTCCCTCACTGTGGTGGCCGGCCGTGAACTTCTGCTTAGATTCAAGTTCTTATTTCTAAATTTGTACCGATATAGAAAAACCAGCATGTGCAACTGGTGTCTTCTTTCTGTACTCTTCGTATGGCGAGGCATGTGTTTTTTTCTGGTGCTTCACAGCTGGCTGCCTTGCCCACCTTTGAAACTGTGATTTCTAGCAATTTGGCTGGAAAGGCACAATCCCATGTGACATGACAACACTTTTTGCTAAACTTCCTACACCTAAATTAACTGGAATGCACAACTGACTCTGCATGTGCCTCTCTTCTTTTCTGTCCCACACTAAATGTAAACACATGACATGCACAGTGGGAAATGAGGTATAAAGGCTGTCCTGTGATGTGTGAAAGCGGTTTATGTCTCACTGTGCTGCAGTTCTGCAAAACCTCATTCTGCTTAACAATATGCTTTTAGATCATGCAGTCCAGTGTAAGCAAATATGACTGGTTGAGGATAAACCAGGCATCTCTTTGTAGAATATAACGTGTAATTTCAATGAGAAATTGAGCCTTCTGCTGAATTGTAATTGCTTTGCCACGTAAACCGCAAGGGAAAGATACAGCTGCACAATCAAGACTTTGTATGTGTATGTGCATAAGATATAGATCAGTAGCTGAAGAAATTATATTTAACTGTTCAGCAAAGGAAACTTCTATTAATGTTCTTTGGAAAAGCGTAGGAGATGCTTTCTGCTTGGTGCTCCTCTTGAATTATTATTATTATTATTATTATTATTATTATTATTATTATTATTATTCTATATGCTGCTGCCCTGCAACACTGTGAAGGGCGGGATACATTTAAATAAATAAATCAGCAAGCAAGCATTCCAAGATGTATGGTAATGATGGGTTAATGGTAGCAGGGATGGATCCTAAGCTGAGCCAGGATAGGTTGGACTAGATGTCCTCAAAGGTCTCTCCCACCTCTAAGGCTTGGTGAAGTGGTAGGGGGGCTACCAGGCCAAAAGCAGCCGGTTTGTGGAATCGCATGGTATGATCATGGGCCTCGTCCTATTGCAGACCATGATCAAAGCTCCCTTTGACTTCAGGAGCCCAGACTTGGTGACTTATTATGCATGCATTGCAAAAGCTGCAGTTGACTTAATTAAAAGCACACAAACAAATTGTGCTGGAATCTGTAGCACGAGCTTTATGTGAGATCACTCCTGAAGAATCTAGAAACCCCTTTTAATAGAGGTTTTAGATAATCACAAGTCTGTCCCTTTAAGTGTGGTTATTGGTAAACAGTTTAGTGAAAGCTGTTTTCATCAGACTGAAAAAAAAGAAGCTGCCACTCACTACCTTGGTAAATAATTTGCCTGAGCAAATAAATGTTAACTGTCAGTTGGAACCATAACTCAGTATGATAATCTACTTTGTAAATAGGACTGCTTATCAAAGACTGTAACAGACTGTTTAAGGACGGGAATTTTTGCTTCACTCTCCTATTGGAAGCCCATTCTTTAAATGCATGATTGCCTGTGCTATTGTAATTCCAGTCTGTGCTGCTAATCATGCTAGATAGCTACCAAATATTTTATTAGTGGACGTTTGTTCGAGTTATTTTTTATGGCTTAGGACCTATCCCCAGTTCTGTAGCATCCAGGCAGAAACATAGCTTTTGGAGATACGAGTTCCTTGGGCAGGGACACTGAGGGGTTCAGAAAGCAAGAGTTGAGTGGCACTGTGGGTTGTGGTTGAAATGTGGGTGTTGTCTGAATTCAGCTGTGCTAATAAGCTCTGGCTTGTTAGCCACAAACAATTCAGGAAGACAACCCATGGTTTGTTGTAGGGTTATGAACTATGGGTTGTTCACCATGGCTTGTTATGTCAACGGAGCTCAGAAAACATAACAAGATGTATTTCACAATTCAGTGAGAATCTCGACCCTTCCCTTTCATCCTCTGTTTTTTCATTTTAGTCATTGAATTGGATCCAGGATTAGAACAGATCCACTGAAATCAATAGGCCTTAGATCAGCCACAATGGACATAAGATCTATTGATTTTAGCTTCAAACATGACTTACTTTAGATCTAGTCCAATATCTTTAATGCACAGTTTCTACTTATGCCATTTTTTCTTACACAAAAGTATGTGTGTAAGAAAAAGCAAATTGCAGGGCTGTGATTTACACAACAAATGCAGAAGGGGGAATGTCTGCTGACCTCATGCTAGGATCCCCAGTTGGATTGAGTCCTCCAGTGCTTGCATTTAGGTAGGTGGCATGCAGTGTGCCTGGTCTTCTATCAAAGGTAATAGCACACCTTTGCCCTTTTAAGTATTGCCACTATCTATAGAAAAAAATTGTGTGCTTTCCTTCTTTAATAGGAAAATACCCTTTGAGTGTTTAAATTAGTAGAAATTAGGTTACTATGGTAGAATGATGAATTAGTGGTATCCAAGTATGAAGAAGAAAGTCTTTATTAGGATGTAGTGGAGAATGTTAGGGTCACACAGTGCTTATGATACCCCTTTTCCATTTGTAAAGCATTGACATGTGTGTACAGAGAGAGCAGAGTAACGGGGAATGTAAGGTGCATGAGACTGCGGTTGAATGCAGGTTTTTTGGAGGAAGCCCTGTTGAATATAATGGGATTTACCTAAGGGTAAACACGCATCGACTTGTGCTATACGGGTTGGGTCACAGTTTAACCATATGGTTGGAAACCCATTGATGTCAATGGGACTGGAACATTGAAATCAATGAGTCAAAATCAATAGGACTTAGGCTTGTCTCAATGAACTCAAGTCCCATTGGTTTCAGTGGGGCTACTAATGGAATTCCGACTGAATCCAACCCTGCCTGTCTAGAAGCTGTCACCCTTCCAGAGTTTTAAAATATGGCAAAATTAATGAGGTCCATCTTGACTGCCTCAAGTCCAATTGACTTCCATGGCATACTGTAGGAATGAATAATTCTGGATTCAACCCATCATGTACATCTCTCTCACGCTCTCTCTTCCATGCAAAAACACTGGCTCAAGAGGTATTCTTTCCCCTGCTATTTTTGCTGGGATGGTAACACGCACACATCTTGGTTTTCTCTCTGAAATCTCATTGCAGTGCGGAGAATAATAAAACGAATATGGACTTATTGGCCACAGGAACATAAGAAATCTGCGTGTTGCCAGAAGAGACCACATAAAAGTCGTGTGTGTGTGTGTGTGTGTTTTTTTGGGGGGGGAGGGGAATTGGGAAGGGTGAAGCCCGCAGCTTCTTGCACTGGAGAGCTGCGATTTGTGAGTGGAACATGATGAAATCTCTCCCTGGACAAATCACATTGCGCCTGTCAACCTCACCAGGTGGGATTAGTTGGAGCTAATAGCCTGAGCAAACAGAGGCTTGTGCTCAGTTTAAAGAAAAAGGGAAGCCACTGTGAAGGCTTTTTCAAGGATTCGCTTTAGTATGGCTAAGAAAAACTGTTTCCAGTTACATCAGGTAGGAGCGGATTTTCTTTAAGGAGGAGCAAACCGATGTCTCTTGAGGAAGGGGGGGCATCTTGCCCGAAAAGTTTTTTTTTAAGTGAGGAAATGGAACTGTTTTATTCCTAAATCGCATCTCTTGTTACTTACAGTGGCTGGAAGGCAGCACAGAACAGCTGGGTTGTTTTGTTTTATCAGAAGTGTCCTTAGGCTCCTGGCTTGCTTAATACATTAACTCCTGCTCTCGTGGCTTTTGTGTCTCTCCTTATTTCCAGGTGATATCCTTATTCACTTTTGCTGTCAGTGTAAACGTCTGCGTGGGATTTACAGCTAATCGTCTGAAAAGGTCCGGTGAAGGGGGAGAAGAGATTCTGTTTTCAGGTACGGTAATTTCTTAAATTGTCCATTTTGCAGCACCTTGATGCGTTGCTTGTGGGGAGGTACCAACAGCCCCCAAAATGTAGTTTTACTGTCCTTTTCTGTTCCGGAATATATCAAAGGTTATGTGAAAAAGCTCAAGGTTGTTGACCTTCAGGGCTCACTTATAGGTAACCTATTTACTTCTCTCTGTGTGTGAGAGATTGAGACAGACATATTCAATTTATGTTCAGAGTTTGAGGTGAATTAGGCATTTTTATATGTGAGCCTTGATATGCAGAAATCTCTGCCATCCCTCCAAAGAAACACTATTTAGTTTATATTGACTGTGGCAGAATATAAGAAAAGTTAATAGAGCTAATTTTTAAACTCGCACAGTATCTTCTGCGAGATAGAATATGTGCAATTCCTGTCTGATTGGATTAGTTGATGTTTACTGATGGAAAGAGATTTCTTATTATCTGCTAGCTAGTCATGCAGAGCAATGGAGAGTGGAGATGAAGAAAGCAGGTGTTCTGTGTTAGAAACTGCATAAAGCAGATGTTCAGTGACTTATGTTTTTCATTAGCGTTCCATCTCTTTAATTCTGGGGAGGGGAGGAAATGCATGCCAGGACCTCTCTCCTATATTTTGTCAGAATGGACACTATATAAAACAAGGAGGGAGGGGAAATAAAACTACATGTAATTTGTCTATCAAATTAACCTCCACTGGCTGTAGCACGTTGTTTCTGTTACGTGCTGTCAAGTCTTCTCCAACTTACGCTAACGCTATGAATGGGAAGCCCTCCAGAATTTTCTGTCCTTGCCAGTCCTGCTCAGCTCTTGTAGCTCAAGGCTGTGGCGTCCTTTATGGAGTCCATCCATCTGATATTTGGTCTTCCTCCTCTTCTTTCACTTTTGACTTTCCCTACCATGACTATCCGCTTTGAGTCTTGCCTTCTCAGGTTGGTATATCGAAGGCTATTAGCCATGTCAGCCAAACAACCCTCCATGGAGGCAGTATGCTTATGAATATTTCTGCGGGGGGGGGGGGGAACAATCAGCAAGGGCCAGTGCCTTGTTTATAAAGAGCTCTGCTGGTCAGAGCAAAGCCCCCATTGGCTTGTCTTCCATGTTAGCCAGATGTATGGTGCCTACAGCCTTCCCTTCTTGTTTGATGCCACCATTGGGTATTCAGAAGTATGCTGCATCTTAGACCCCATTGCGAGTTTCCCAATGACATCTGGTCACTGCTGGGAATATTTCCTCTTTAGCCAGATCAGATATTTAACCCCATGTTTACATTTTTATGAAGTAATAGTTCTGATCTGCCAAAGAATGAAACTCTCTGGGAGACTTGGGGTCAGTCAATAACTGAATACATGGGGTTGTTGCTGTGAGAAGAAAATGGAGAGAACATTTTAAGATGCCTTGGGTTTCTTGCAAGAGGAGGAAATACAGCGTGGGCCAAAAGTAGGTATACAGTACCAATAGGGTCATGGGAAACCTCACACAGTGGACAAATTGAAGGAGTTCTTCTCGGAAGCATTTATCAACATTTGTGCTAACCAGAATTTGTGTCATAGTGTTGGGGACAGGTTCCAGGAATGTTGCAATGTTGATGGAGGACATTTTGAGCACCTAAGAGACTAAACATGGCAAGATCAGTACTGTATACCTACTTTTTTGACTCTCCCAGTGTAATGTTGTATTAAGAACAAGAACGACAATAATAAGCACTCTACGTTAGATAACCCTAGCCTGATACTTTGATTTCTGCTTCAGAAGAAAGGTTATGAGTTGGGCAGCCTTCCCCAAGCTGGTGTTTTCTAGATGTGTTGGGACTGCAATTCCCATCATTCCCATCCAGCATAGCTAGCCTTCCCCATGCTGTTGCCCTCCAGAGGTGTTGGGACTTGGGATCAAAATTCCCATCATGCTAGTTTGGGACAATCGGAGTTGCAGTCCAGTATATTTGGACAGCACCAGCTTTGCAAGGGCTGGCTTAAAGTATCAGGTGTGAAGATTCCATCTACAGTGCAGGTGGCTTAAAGCATCAAAGGGTTTGTATCTGTTTAGAGTGGTGGGTGTTAAAAGGTCGCTAATACAGAGTTTTTAAAAAACAATAAGCAAATCTTACACCCCTTCAGGACAGCTTCTGGCTGCATAAAAATGGCTTGCTATGTTGGAATGTCATTAGATCTTTCTGTTCCGTTATGGACAGTTTAGGACAGAACAAATCTGACACATTTTATGCTGCTTTATCCCTTCGTTGTCGTTGTTTTTCTAGTACACAAAGCTTGTTGACATTTGAGCAGGGAAAATGCAGCCAAGTTGCTATGCTGTGGTACCCATAAGCAGAATATGTGTGTGTGTGTGTGTGTGTATGCATGCTTTTCTTGCCAAAGTTGTTTCTAATGTATCAAAGTAATGGAAACAGGATGTACAAAATGTGGGATCAGAAAGCCTTGTGTTCCAACATCATAAATGAGAGAGCTGAACGATGGTCTGTGAAAAGATGGATGTACTGTTCTGCTGGATAACTTACATTTAACTGGTAACAAATGCTCTGATCAAAGGCGCCTGCATTAAGCTTTGATAAGCACACATGATTCCTATTATTAGTAATGGAAGCTACAGATGAGGCAGAGGCTCTTAGAAATGGCAAGCTGCGCGTCTGTAGCCAAGGCCTCTTACACCTATCCTGAGCTGGCTTGTGTGCAGAGGTACTTGACATCCCTTTTGAACCAATTCTGCTGTCCAGCGCATCTGCTTTTTATGCTAACATGGAAAATGTTTTCCCCATCTGTTGCTGAAGATAGGTTGCCTTGTGTGTGCTGGTGCTGGAGAGAGTCCTCCCAAATTCCACACATGGCCAGAGTTACTGAAAAAGCTCAGCTGCCTTTGGGAGTTGACTGCTTTGAAATTCACTTCACACTGATTTCTGAAGGCAAACTACCTTTTCGGAGATTTAAACTGCAGCCACACTAGTATTTTTGGCTGTGCTTGTTCGGCTTGTTCAGTGTCACGACTGGCCAAAATGTGCTCTGGAAGTTCACAGATCTTGAACCTGGCACGCTGCGTGACTGGTCCGTATAGACTTGGAAGGTGTGTGCTGTGCAAGTTGCTGTCTGTCAGATGTGGGAGCTCCCGGCTTGCACACTCACCGGGAGAAGATCAACTGTGCTAGTGGAAAAGTGGCAGAAAGCAATTTGTGCTGATGCTTTCTGCTTTCGCCTTACTGTGCCCATGTCGAGTAGTTTTTTTTAACCTGTACTTCATGGCCAGCAGATGAGTGTTTTTATTGTTATCGCCTTGAAGCATATGCTTAAGGATCAGAAAGGTTTTCATTAGCTGAGTAAAGGCAGAGCTCTGTTTCTGCTACATATGTCAGATCAAAACAGTCATCTCTTCTGCTCAAAAGAATGCAGCTCACTGTGGCATTGCATTATTATCATGATTCAAATTATAGCGTCCTTGCTTTGTAATACTAAGCATTGTGACCTTGTCTTGTCTTTACCGCATTTTTGCAGAATGCTACAGATAGAAAAGTGCTGATCTGTACTTTTAGAAAACCACAGAAACATAGCAGTGCCCTTGTTTTCCCTCTTGTCATGTTACAGGAGACTATGCTATTCAGCAATATTTATGATGTGGATGCTTGTGTAGCAGTTTGACTTCCTGATCTGGAGATCCAAATGTGGCTGTTCTTAGACCCACTGAATTCAGTACAATTTAAATTAGTAATAACTATTTAAAGACCCATCTATTTCAGTGCATTTGTTCCAACTATGTTTGGATCAAACCTCTTGTGTCCTAGTCAAGGGAGGTGAACTGATTCCTAGATGGGAGGAATGAATCCAAATCTGCTGTCTCAGTCATTCCTCAAGTCTGGCATCAACACTTCTGCTTCCAGCTGCTCATCAAGGGTCTGTCATTCCAGGAGTGAAATCAGGACCTGCTACATGCCAGTGTAAAGACAATGAAGTGTAGTGGATAGAGGGTTGGACTTGAACGCAGGAGATTTGGGTTCTAGTTCCCACTGGGTTGAGGGAGCTAACTCGGTGACTTTGGTCCTGTCACTGATTCTCAACCTAACCGCATGGTTGCGAAGATCAAATGGAGAGGCATTATTATTGTTGTTGTTGTTGTTATTATTATTATTATAACATTTCTATGCCGCCCCTTGCCGAAACCTCGGGGCGGCATAGAAATGTAAGCCACCTTGTGTAATGTAAGCCACCTTGGGGTCCTTGCAAGAGGCGGAAAGGCGGTGCAAATACAATGCATGCAAAATAGGTACTCTGTTACTAAGTTCACCCTTCTTCTGTCTATTGAATACTTTCCTGCTACCATTTAGTGGGCAGCACCATGCCTAGAACTGGCAGTAATGGCTGGGCGGCCAAAGCAAATGGCTAATCTGTGGGACAAGATTGGAGTGGTCACTTCTGCATTACCAAAAAGGGAAAATGCATCACTGAAAAGAGGACACCCATTTGTTTAGCATTTGTATATGCTAATTTATAGTATAGATGCAACTTTTAAAACAATGACTATAATTTAAGTAGAAAAAAACCCATTAGGTCTTACCATTGTGGGAAATTCTGACCAGGTGACCAGTGTGAAAAAAGAGACAAAGACTGGATTCACATAACACACTGACATTCAAGGGTTGAGCAGGGGTTGCCATTGGCCTGTGAGTGGTTGTTGAAATACAGGTTTAGTGTGTTGTCTGAACTTGGCGGAACTAACAAGCATGGCTTGTGGCCTCTAAACAACCATGAAGAAAATCCATGATTTGTTTTTTGCTTGTGAACTGTGAATTTCTCACCTTGGATTACTACCTTTGTTGGGTTCAGACAACATGGTAACCCACCTTTCAAGAACAACTCATAGTTTAACAACTCACACTGAGCCCTTGTGTTGTCTGAATTCAGTCATTATCTGTCTTTCAAAATCCCAGAAAATAAAGATATACTCTTACTCTTGAGATGTCATGTCTTTTTTTTTTTTCCCCATGTGGTGACTTTGGATGCTCTCTAGTTTGTCTAGATGACCACTCTTCCACCCTGGAATTCCATCCATTGACCAAATGTTGAAGGACAACTTCAACAGCTCTACTCTTCCCATAGGGTTATTTATCTTTAAAGTGAACTTGGACTGGGTAACTATTCAAGCAGAGGGTGTCTTCAAGGGGATAACTGCCCCCTGACAGTTCAAATGAAGGACCGTTCTCTGCAAGTCTCAGGCCACTCTGAGACTTATCTTTATGTACTAGAGAGCTGTATCTACCAAGAATGTTTCCACTATAAAATGTGTTATGCTTAATTTTAAAAAATTGAACCAATGTCTGTTAAGGAAACACGTAAGAAAAGTGTGCTCGCCTAATTATGCACACTGTTTCTTGAGGGGACCACTTTGGAAATGTCAGCCTGCTTCATTGTCTTATTGAGCCCAGTGGAATAAAGTGACCAATATAAAAGCTGAACTTTATTTGCATTAGATGCATATGTAAAGTTCAGAAGGAAAAACTGGAAGCCACCAAGTGGTAGAAGCTGGTAGTGCAGTATTGTTGTAAGAAAAGCCAAGATTCATCACCTTTAGTCTGATTCCACAACTATGCAAAAGAAGTTTGGAAACATACTGGTATGCATATTGCACATTACACATTCACTGTGCAGAGAAAAGACACAATATTAAACGGCTTGGTGTGATGGTTTCTTTCTCTCTTTTTGAGTCTAATGCATGCTTAGTCATGCATAGCTTTTTAAACTCAATTTTGTTGGAATCTAACTTTGCCTCATGTCCCACATTCAAAGTAGAAGTGAGTATCTGTAAAATACATTAACACACAATTTCCTTGTAAGCATTTCATATTCCTTTTCCTACCACCAAAACTTGCTGCACAGAGACTAGGATCAGGTGGTGTTGTCATTGAGCATTTGTACCTCACCTTCCTCGTAAGAGGTCAGTATCTGGGAAAAAACTTCCCAAAGCCATGTGATGGGGCTCTGATGCTCTCTAGATCGCTGACCTTGTCCCTACAGATGCTTGTAAGACCTATGCCTGGTCTCCAAAAGCTTCTCTTCTTCCTTTCCTCCCCACTTGGCCAAAGAATTTCCAGCTCTTCTTTGACAGTCAACTTACTTTGCATCCAGTATACAGAGTCTTTAATTTTCATAATTTTGGTCAAAATGTGGGACTTTAATGCAAAGCTTGGGATTTTGTTTGGCACAGAATTGCATGCAGCTTTGATATATTGCAGGTTAATCCAGGGTAAGAAAAGTGACTGGAGATCTTACACACTTTTTATTCACTATTATTATTTATTCTCCATCAGCCTCCATTTCCTTTCCCTTCTTTCTTATTGGACCATACAGCTGGGCTGTTAATGTCCTACTACAAATGGCAGCAATTCAAGCAATCTTTAGCCAGCCATGGAATACTTGACTTACAATACCCTGTTTTATTTCTTTCCCCCATAGACCTACCCACAGTCTTATCAGATTCTCCCTGGATCAGTAGTTCGGGCTCCTGCAAAAACAGATGCTTTGAACTTCAAGAGGCAGAACCTCCAGGATGCCGCTGCGACAACTTGTGCAAGAGCTACAACAGTTGTTGTGATGACTTTGATGGACTATGTTTAAAGACAGGTAGGGTAGCTCTTAACTGCCTGCTTTAACACAACCTTTTCTGCTGCTCCTTGTGCTCTGCTGTGTTCTAGCTTTCCCCTCTTGCCCCTGATATGCAATCCTGGAAACTTTTCTTCCACATCTGGGGAAATCTAATCTGTGCCCTGCAGGAGCAATGGACAGAGATTCATCCCCAAATCTTTATACGCTAAGCTACAATTTCCATCATTAACGCTTCGTAATACTGTTGAATGCAGACCCTTGAGCAGCGACAGCAATACATGTCTTGTTTTGTATATCATCTTGGATGGAAACCTCTTGAAGAAACACATTCTCTCTCCCTTTGCCACCTTCCATTTCCTTTGCCCTGTGTCACAGGACCTGCACTGCAGCCTTTGCTTAGCAATACACCTTCACTCTGGATCTCATCTAAGGAGCAATCGAACCAGTTCCACTTCGTAGCCTGTGCTAGTTCAGCCCAGACGTGACTTCAGTGGCTATTGGCCAGGGCTGGCCCAAGATAGTTTGCTGCTTGAGGAAAAGGGCAAGATGGCAGTCCCTTCCGTTGTGGGCACAGAAACCAGCTGGGCTGGCAATTGCACCTTCCTGCAACACTAGCAACAGGATCCTACCCGAGGGAGGCAGGCTAGTTTAGCAGATGCAGGACAAGCTGGGAGTTTCACAAAGAGAGTAGAATGGCTGGGCAGCACCGCAGCCGTCTCCTGGCCTCTGCTACCTCGGGTGGCTACCTCGCTTTGCCTAATGATAGGGTTTGTTTGTTTGTTTGTTTATTTAAAACATTTCTATGCCGCCCCATCGCAACAGAGCCTCGGGGCAGTTCACAGCACATAAATAAATACAGAAGTAATAAAATAAGTACTAAATTATACAATAAATAACACCCCCCCAGTGCATTCTTGGCTAAAAAAAAAAACCAAAACCCTAGTTAATAAATAATTAACAGTTAAAATAAGTTTTAAATAAAAAGGTCTTAGCCTGGCGCCGAAAAACAAACAACGACGGTGCCAGGCGGACCTCTCTGGGGAGCGCATTCCATAGGTGAGGCGCCACCGCAGAGAAAGCCCTCCTCTGAGTACTCACCCTCCTAATATTCACAGAGGGTTCCCGGAGGAGGGCATCTGCTGCTGACCTCAAGGGGCGGGAGGGCATATATGGGTGCAAGCGTTCCTTTAGATAACCAGGTCCCAAGCCGTAAGGGTTGACCTTGCCACGTGCTTTAGCCACATCTCAGAGGTCTGCGAGGTCAGTATCTTTAGCACGGTGAAAACTAGCCATTGCGGCCTTAGAACTAGACTGATCTCCAGTGATGTTCTACATAGACTTGGTTCAGACAACGACAAGCATGTTTCAGTTGGGTAGATTCCCGTGGGTGAAAGAGTTACATAAATGCATTTTAGGTCTTTTCCACTGAAAGTTGTTCAGTTTGGCTGAAGTGAAGCCTGGTTCATTTGTTCTTTGATGCGTATACAGCACTGGACCTGATGGGTGAGGCAATCCTCGTGGAATTGCTGTGGCATGCCTGTCCACATTTCACCGGGTGGCCCACACAGTGTCCTCAACAATTTGGAACCCTCCTGTATTGTCCCTGTTTTCTTTGGACCCAAACCTATGCTTTCTTTATTTTTTTCTATTTCAATTCCACGAAAAGTAAAAGGGAGGAAATGCCCCAGACATGCCACTTTTTAAGGAACTCTTCCCTGGATGAGGAGTTTCTCATTAACGTGAGCTTTGGAATGTCTGCAAGGACGTTTTCCACTCTTCCGTGTAAATGTTCAACAGTCAAGGCATGAAAGAGAGGGAAAAATGAGCCATAACTGCAGTCGTGGTGATCATAATCCTGCTGCACTAAGTGCCCAGAAACATAAGGAAGATACTATACAGCTACACCTTCCACTTTGGACTAGCAGAGTAATAGACTGCACAGTTTGCACTGGTTTTTCTTGCTGTCTTTCTATACATGAACTTTGTTTTAGGGACTGAAGTGGGCTGAATGCACTGAAAGAGCTTCTGCAAAACTGGCCGCTGCAGACCTGCCCTCCCAGAACACAGGCTTCTCAGGACTTCTGTTATGTCCGCGACAAACTTAAAGGTGTTTCTGGCTACTGTGTTCCCAGATTCAGTTTGGCAACTTGCCCTGGTAGTTATCAACCTACACTGTGGCTGAGCAGGGCTTTGAAATCTAGTCTGAATCCTTCATATAATGATTTCAGGCCAGGATTCAAAGTCTTGTTCAGTGATGTGCTAAACCAAGAGTAGGCCACCTCATGTCCTCTAGAAGTCTTGGACTACGATTCCTGTTAGCCCCAGGTAGAATTGCCAGTGGTCTGATATTATGGGAACTGTAGTCTAAATCATGGAGAAATCTAATCTTGTGGTAAACGATTGCTTGATATTATGAGTTGCAATGAGACTTGCGCTGCTCTTCCTTTCCAACAGAGTTGTGTGAAGGAACTTAGAAGCTTTTGTCAGTGGTTGACAATTAGTGGCCTCCAAATGTTCCCACCAGGCCTAGCAGCATGACCAGTGGTGAGGGATAATGGAAGCTGCAGGCCAAAACACCTGGAAGGCCACAGATTTCACACAGAGGTTGGCAGTTTAGATTAATCACAACTTCTCATATATTCCAAACCTGGACAAAGTGGTTAATATTAGCCCTAGGTAGTGGCAATGAGGAAATTTCAAATCCTAGTTCATAAAGTGGGCTTGTTTTCACTAACCATGGTTAAGTTTAATCCTATCATTTTAAAGTTCAGACAACTTGCCTGACTGTGTTTAATCAATGAAACCTTCCAATACTGTTCTCGTGGCCATGTCAGAACAGGCTCACCTACCCTTTTCCTCAAACACTAAGCTAGCCTTCTCCAACTAGATCCATTTCTATGTATCAACTGGATCCAACATAGCAATTGGACAAGACAGCCAAAGGGCATCTAGGTAAAGAAGAACCCGCTAAACTATGATGAAATTTATTTATTATTTATACAATTTGAATGTCATCCAATTACTTGCATCTCTGGACAGCTTACAAAATGAATAAATTGACATCAGAATTTAAAATCAGATTACATATTGCATAATCATACTACATATTTAAACATCCTCCTTGTAGACAGAGATGCTGAAATGTTTCCTTCTGAATGGAATAAAAGTTCGGTTGTATATAACATGTTGTAGCCTTTCTTCTGTTTTTCTTCTAATGTCCCATTTCATAAATGACATACTGGGACTTTCCCAAATATGGGTAAACTGAGTTTTGAATTGCTTTCCTTAGAGCAGGAGTGGGGAGGGGGGGAATCTCCTAATGTTTTAGATTTCTAACCATTGGCTATGGTGGCAAGGTCTTCTGGGAGCTGAAGTCCAAAGCCATATGGAAACCTTTCTTATGCCCACCCCTTCTCCAGAGTCTAAAGGTCCATGTGTTATGTGCCATCATGTTGTCATCTCTGATTTTTGAGGACCCTTTGAAAGCTCTTCAAAATGTCTTATCCCGGACAGCCCAGCTCAACTCAAACATGGCAGTGGCTTTCTTGATGCAACCGATCCATCTTGCTATGTTCAGACTGGTTGTGATGGGACCCACTCCCAGTTCTATGGGATGTGGATGTTCGAGGCTACCGTCCTCAGTATTCTTAAGGGAAGCTATTGCAGGTAATCAGGTATCCGCACCAACATAGATTTGTACTATAGGTATGCTATTTTCCCCTAACTTTCTAGAAGAATCAAAATCCACTTCAACAGAAGCATCAGCAAATGCCAGAGGCCTGCTGGGCAGTTGTTTTGCTCCAAAGATGTTTTGTATCTTTGGGTGGGCATCTTTTTTTTTTTCTTACAAAAAACGTGTCTCATGTTTTCGCTTTTGTGGTAATGATAGCTGGAGGCTGGGAATGTACAAAAGAGCGTTGTGGAGAGACGAGAAATGAAGATAATGCTTGCCACTGTTCTGAAGACTGCTTATCCAGAGGAGACTGCTGTACGAACTACCAAGTGGTTTGCAAAGGTACCTGTTTCTCTTCTCTCTGATGAAAGAGTCAAGCACTTGGGACAGTACTAGCCAGAAAGATAACCAGACATTTTCGTGGGAGGCAAGCATCATCTGGTCCTAGGGGTGGGTAGGAAGTAACACTGAGATACTGGGTAGATCCTCAAGTGACCCTGCAATTGATGAGCAAGGATTTCTGATTTCTACTTGTCTAGTCATAACATCAAAAAGGCACCTTCCAACTAAACTGGGCTGCTGAGAGAGAATGTTTGGAGAGAGAGAAGTTGTTTTTAGTATGAGAGAAGGGGTGAAATTGTTTTTCGGCTCAGCATGTCTTCAGAAGCCCCTTGCTCCTTAATTAATGTTCAATTAGCATTATATTGAAACCTGGGACACTATTTTGTGCTTTGGTGGATCTCAGACTTGAGAGAATGCAGAGTGGAGGGTGGGAAGGAAGGAGGGTTGGTTGGTTGGTTGTTAGATTGGGGCATGCAGACAAAACTCCCAGTCTAAAAGGAAGAGCAAGTCAAGCAACCTTGACATCTGCAGCTGATGTCATGATGTAGCAGCTAAGACTGATCTGTGAACTGAAGTCCTGGATGCGAATCTCACCTCTGCCATGAACTCCTGAGAGGCGACTCTGGCATCCATCCCCTCCACCTGCAGAATGAGGATAATAGCAACTTCCTTTTAAGCAACCTTCCTCAACTTGCCTCCATCAGATCTGTTGGGATACCTGGAAATTATGGGAATTGCAGTCCAGTGCATCTGGTGGGACCTGAATGGGTTGTTTCTAAGGGCCACAACGAGAGGATGGACCAAGACTGGAGAGACCTGGGTTCTAGTCCCCCGTGTGCCCTGAAGCTGATTGGGTGATTTCGGACCAGTCACTGACTTTCAGACTAAACTAAGTCACTGGGTTGTTCTGAAGGCAAAATGGTTAGGACACAGCCTTGGATGGTGGGATTTTAATGTAGCAAATAATCTGCATTAGGTGCATTGTTGAGTATCTTAAAATTGCTATGCAAAAGCTAAGGGCCAAAGTACACAGTATGCAAAATACATGATACGTAGTTGTCCTGCTTTGTTTTGTATTTTACTCACAAGTACGCACATGATGTGGGCAGGACCACTTCTTGCAGATAGAGGAGGTTTAAATCACCCATCCCAGAAGCTTGTTCTTACGGACTTAATAAAAAGGAAAGAAATTAGCACTGACAGGTGGATGGAGGCAGAGAAAAGACATTTTACGCACACATGCATGTGGACAGTGGTGCTTTCTCTACCCTTGTTTGGCACTTCCAGTCCAGATGAGGTCCCCACATACTTGCTTGTGAGTAAAAGAGAGAAGCCATGCGTTTTCTATATTGTGCAGTTTGACCCTGAATATTTATCCGACATTCTTTAAATCATCTGGGAAGAAACTGCCGTGACCTCTCTAGACAGCTTACTGGATTACACCACAGTGTTGAAATATGATAATTGTGGGGCAGGTAACATTTAACGTGTCTTTACGCTGTATCCTCTGTTCAAAGCCCAGGTAAAGCATTATTCAAGCATGGGTTTGTAAATGCAAGGATGCAGCTGTAAAGTCCTGTTTGCTGGTTTTTGAGGGGTTGCTTCTATAGCACAAGCAGAACCTTTCCAGCAGGTTCCAGCAGCCCTCCTTTGAAAAACTGATGGCAAAAGGTCTCAGTGACAGAATAACTTTAAATAACTACTCCAGAATAACTTTACATCCACCTCTTTCAAGAAGTGTGTGCACCTACACTTTCTACACTTCCCAGAGCTAATAAGGGCTGACTTTTACATATCACTGTTTATTTTGCAGCAGTCTTTATGTCCTTTCCTACACTTGCCATAGCAGTGGCAATAATTATGTGTGATGATAATAATGAAGACTGATAATAACAATGATTTGTTGATTGCAACACAGAGTGCTGATAGCTGTGTTGTGGCACTTAAAGGCTAGTCTGCAAAACCTGATGCCATAACAAATCTGTTAGTCTTTAAGGTGTCACAAAGATGTCTTTGTTGTGCTTTGCTGGAACAGACTAGCACACTTACCCCTCCAGAATTTGTTTCCATGGGCAATATGAAAGGTTTGAGTTAGTTTTCCATTCTTGTTTGCTCTAAAGTGGGAAGAGCTGAGGATTTTGTCTTCCATGATTTTCAGCACAGTCCTATGCATGTCTAGATAAAGGAAAAGTCCTACAACACCCATCATGCTCCAGCCATGGAAATGCTGGAGGTCGTAGTGCTTTTTTCAATCTAAACATGCATAGGATTGCTCCCTAAATAGAAGGTTTAAGTGCAACATGGAGGTCTTTCCAGGCAGGGCTTTGGGAACAGTGGGATCAGGACAAACCTGGTGGTCCAATTTCTTGTCTAGTCAGAAGTCACTTTTTACTTCACTTAATGGAGTAATTGTGTAGCTCCCAGTTTCCTTTCTCACCCCTTTCTGAGAAAGAGTTCTTTGTAGAAGAACTCTGTGGGGTTTCCTGACGCTGCCTCCAATTGTGACAGAGCTGCCTATGTCACCAAATGTAGAAACTCTGTATTGGTTTTCTGACTGCAGTTTCCTTTACTAAAATATTGACTCCTCAGTCTATGGAACTCCATCAGTGGGGTTAAAACACCAGCTTAGTTTAGTTTAAAGCAATTGTGGCCAGTAACTAAGTTTTTGGAGAGACATTGCAACCCTTTTGAATGGGGAGGAAAGTGACACAAAAGTTGGAATACCATCAAGCCAGTGCAGCAGAGCTTGGGAGGAGTGTCTGTAGTCTTCTGGGGAACTGTGGAAGGCCAGATTTGAGGTCCTTCTCTAAATGATGCTACAAAAGAATTAACCCTTTAAAAAATCCCCAGTAGCCTAATTCCTAAGGTGTAGGAGTAGGATCGGCACAGCCACTGGAGGCAAGATGCACAAAACTAAGACATTTACAAGGCAACAGAGTTATTTTTTCCAAATAATAACATGGGATTGCTTAACAGTGTACCCATTAAATCTCCTTGATTACCATTTCTAATAGGATAGAGAGCTCGCAATGGCTCTCTGTGTGGATTTCTCTAAGTTCCACCCAACAACCAGGAAAGTTTCTGTAATGGAGGAGCTGGCAATTTCTTGCTCTTCAGAAGTTTTGGCCTACAAGTTGCTCTGCTCTTGCTGGAAGGGCTGCCTTGGGAATGAGGGTGGGGAAATCCACTTCTGTCAGTAGAACTGATGCAGCATCATTCTGAATCCAACCCTTTTAACATAAAGTTGCAATTAGCAGCCAGTTTCAATGAGGGCACCAGCGGTGACCTGCAGGCAAAGGTCTCTTTTAACCCCTGCCTCCAAAGAGCTGAACTACATAGCACATTAAATGTGTGGCTTGCAGCTGATGTAACTACTTCTTACTTTTTAAGTGTGTGGGCCTCAATCCAGATCAGGATTGCATGCATGGGTAGGGTCCCCCACCCCAAATCTTGCCCTCCAATCATTCACCCAATATATGTGTGTGCACTCTACTGTTGGGGCTAAAGGGGGAAAAAAAAAAAACCATTTTGGGCCAAAGGAATATCTCCCCATGCCTGGGTCAGGGCCAGTATGTTCACACTAAAGTAGGAGCACGTTAAATGCTGTGCATTTATCATAATATGTAGTTTAGTCCTCTCTGGGAGGAGCAACAGAAACTTAGTCTTGCTTGTTGTTTTTGACACCCCTCCTTTTCAAGCATATGTTCAAAGAAACTTACCACAACAGAGTGAAGCAAAACACTGCAATTACATAAAATCAAAGTTTGTGTGCACGCGTGTGTGTGCACTTCTTAACCCACATAACTCAAAAATGTGTTGGCTGGTCAGAAATCGCAGTAGAGATAAGTCCTGGAAGCTTGGGGAGAAAAGGATTGGTTTTATAACATTTCTGGAATGAAAGCAAGAGTGGAACAATTCCTGAGGGCAGTCATTCCATAGCTTCTGAGCCACAGCTATAAAATTCCAGTTTCTAGACACAGATGTTCATATAGCGTGAAGAGATGGTAATTGAAGCAGGTCCTGACTTGACATGAAGATGGTGGAAGATTCATGCAGGGAGAGAAGGTCTCCTTTGAAGGCCAAACAAGACAACATGTGAAAGGCATTTCACATATCTGATTTGATTTTCCAGACAGACACCCACAGACCCCTGACTAGGATTGGGATAGGGTATGGGGAGGACTGTTTAACCCCTTTTCTGCTGTGCCATCATCCAATGATCATTGCTAATTCCAAAAGCTTGATATTAGACCTAGAAGAGAACTGCCACTGGACAGCAATTGACCACATTCTAGAACAGGGGTGGGCAATTAATTTTCCTATGGGGCCACATGAGAAACTTTGGCAGTTGTTAAGGGCTGGACCAATACACTTACAGCTCTGCTCAATATAGATCTCTATAAAAACAGTAAATGAAACATTACAATGATACAATGAAAATGTGGAGCACAGAACAACACTATTTAATGAATATTCACAAAAACATTAACATTAACATTACATGAAAAGCAATAAATTCAATTCAATTTAGCAGATCCTTCAAAATAAAAGCAGTGCAGTTGTATTGCTTGCACCTATATTATGACAATATATATTTGCATTGACTTTTAATTTGCCAGTGACCTCATGCGGGCCAGTCAGGGTCAGCCATCGGGCCGGATGTGGCCCGCGGGCCGTACAATGCCCAGGTCTGTTCTAGAAGAATCAAGTGCTTGAGTCCTCCACAAGTGAAATAAGTATGGGGGCAGAGGCTGAAGATGAGAGTGGGCTTCGTTGAATGTAAGGGGGAGAAATGAAGAATCTCTCTTACTTCTGGAGTAAGGCTAGATTCAAGGCAATCATGACTTATAATTTTGATCCCTCCTGGGGAGAATCTATGGAAATTGGTTGCATATTGAACAGCTGCCAAGCAATAGAAGCAGTTGTTAAAGAGCACTTCTGAAGGAAGACATCAACAATATCATGTACAGTTTATGTTCAGGAAATTCAGCTACTGCATGCAACAGAAGCTGTGAAATCCTTGCTTGAATTGTGAGAACTTCCCTCAGGAGGTGGAAAGAGTGAATTGAAAAATGAGGGCATTCATGAAATGTCAAGAGAGGAGGACTTGGAAGGGGAGTCCATCTTTAGACTAGAAAAAGCATGAAACTGGATGTGGGATATACACCTGGGATCTTTGGTACTAGGAACATAGAAGTGCCTTATGTTGAGTTAAACAATTGGTTCATCTAACCCAGTGTTGTTGACACTGGCAGAGGCTCTCCTAGGTTTTATACAAGATCTCCTAGCCCTTCCTGGAGATGCCAAAGTTTGGATCTGGGACCTCCTGCATGAAAATACATGCTTCACCACTGTGCTGCAGCCCTTCTCAGTTGAGCTATGGGCCCTTTCTATTTTAGGGAGCTGGTAATGAAACAGGAGTGGTCTTTGTGATCTGAAAGACTGTAAGGGGATTACTCCAACACCAAATAAGCAAGAAGTAGGGCTAATCTTGGCTTCTTGATTGCCTTTAGTAATCATACCCTTTTCTACAGTCCTGGCCATGCAGATTTAAGATGGGGTGGGTGGTTGCATAAATTATTCAGGAAACAGAAAGGAACATCTGTTTAAAATGTGCACAGCTAAGCAAATATGCATCCTTCTACCCCTACACACGCATACACACACCTGTACGCTATGCAAATGGTAAGGGTGTTTCCAGACAAGGCATTGCCCTGTCTCATTCACAGAAATGAGCTCAGGTGTCCTAGCCTTCCATTTGTAACTCTCCCTTGTTTTCCACTGCTTTCCACATGAAAATCTGTTATGGAAGAAAGGCTGGAATAGCAGCCCAATGTCATTTGATAAGTAGTGCTAGGAGTCATCTGTTTATATGCACCCAAAGACAGCTAAATAGGATCATCCAACTATTCAGAAAGACAGAGTATTGCAGATCACCCTGAGGCACACTTACCTGATAACAAGTCCCGGTGATCGCAGTAAGACTTATTTCTAAGTAAACATGCATAGGTTCTGGCTGCAGGTCACTGTCTTAGCTGTGGACTTTTCTACATTTATCAGACATTCAGCATCACCTGTTCAAGCTTGTTTATGGTTTCCTTAGGCAATGTTGTGACTCTCTGGTTTTGTTTCTGTGTCTAAACAGCACTTTTTTCGAGTTTGTTTAGAACAGGTCATGTGTGGCATTTAATTGTAAAGTGAAAGAAAACAATTCTTTAATTTGTATATGTGCACATGTCACAGTGCCACCTAGAGGTTATAGAAGAGGAAAGGAGAAGAGGAAATGCTCCTTGAGGAGTGCTTGGCTCTAAGAATTAAAAGTGGATATGGCAGGCTAGCAGTATGGGAACTGTAACTGTCTAAGCATTATGTAAAATATTTGCTATCATCCCATTTTAGGAGAAACACATTGGGTTATGGATGATTGTGAAGATATCCGGGCTCCAGAATGCCCAGCAGGGTAGGTGCTTTATTTTATGATTTTAAAATGGCAGATTGCAAATACTGGTTTCCATTGACTGGCGGACCAAAAGAGCTGTTTGGGCTTTTCTGTGGCTTCTGAAATACGAACTGCTTTTATTCTGTTACAGGAAGGTGCTCAAAAGTGAAGTGCAATAAATTCTTATCTTCCTTTGCAAGTAACATACCAAGCAATAACCTTTCTGAGTTTTCCCAGTGCAGAAGAACATTAAGGGGGGAAATATAGGATATCTTTACAATACATTTTCATTAGTAGTTCTAGCAGCCCTTTGGACTCATTTTGTGGTTATTTTGTCTTTCCATCCTGAACCAATTTTCTGTGGTAAATAAAAAGGTAGAAGTAGCAGTGGGAGAATTCCTGAAGGCTACAAACAGGAAATGATACTGCACAATAAAAACTTTGTTTGGGAATATGAGAAGAAAATGAGTTTGGGGTTGTTTCTTCCCCTTCTCTGTCTTCATTATCATAATCTTCTGCTTCTTCTACCTGGTCATCATTGCCCACTTCTGCTTCTTTTCCTCCTCCTCCATTAATTTCGCTTCCATTCTTAAATGTATCCTGAAAGCAGAAATACTAAACCATTTCACCATATAGTTTTGGCTTGCTACTGTTTAGCCTTAAATATTTATTCTGATCTTAGTTTTATTTTCATACTATTAAAGATACTGTGAATCCAGGGCAAAATGTTTGCAAATCTTTTGAAAAAGATCATAAAATGTTTGTCTTGAGGTAAAGGAAGAAAGTAGAATAGGAATAGTAGAAAGGAAAGTAATTATGTGGTTTGGCTACTTGTTATAATTGATAACACACTCTTGGAGGGTTCTTTTTAAATAAAAATGAGTAATTGTAACATGTTGTGAATTCCAACATAAAGTGAATCATTCAGTAGTAGGACGTAGTCTAGGCTGCAATCATGTATACACTTGCTTGGAATAAATCTCATTGAACCCTATGGGACTTAAGTTTGAGTAAATATGCATAGAATGGCTTTCTTAAGGGATGGTAGATGCAGCAACATGTCCTAAGAGTGAGACTTTAAGAAGAGATTGAGAATTAAGATGAACTGTAAGAGCCAGTGCCCTGTAAAATGATTTGAAAGGCAACTACAATCCCATTTTAACTTCAAAGCAATCTTATTTTTATGCATTATTCACCCAAACATTCGATAGTATCGCTTACATTTGCTTAAACAAATCCTGTATTTGTTCATTGGATGATAAATTGCATTGATCAACATGAGACTCTTTCTGAATAAAACAGGTATGTCCCCATTCAGCCATTTTAAGGTTTTCCTGGGTATTTATGGCAGTGCTTTTCAACCACTGTTCCACAGACTGGTGCCAATCCACAGAAATTTCCTGCTGGCCCATGGGGGGCTGCATCCCACGTGCTGTAGACCAGTGTGGGGGCCTGGCTGTGGTCCACCATCTCTTCCCCGACATTGTGTTCGTGGGGAGGGGGCACCACTGGCAGGGGGGACACAGAGAGGGGAGAGATGGCTTGCTGGGAGCAGACTGGGAGCCATGCTGTGCCAATTTTGGTATTTTGTTCTTTTGTTGGCATTTTTTGTTGCTCAGTTTTGGGTTGTTTCAGCGAATTTTCATTTATTTATTTATTCATTTATTTAAAGTTTTTATATGCTGTCCCAATACTAAAAGTCTCTTGGATGGCTTACCCAAAATAAACAAAAACCCAGAGCAACCATATACAACAAACAACACCCAACACACTGCATCTGATAAATGATGATAAAAACAAGGATTAAGGATAAGTATTTTTTTCTCGGTATTGTGTTCGGAAATTAGTACACAGAATACTGTATTATGTGTATGGTGCTTTTTGTTTCTGCCTTAGTGGTCCCTGAAGCGGTTTTCTTATTTTTGCCAGTCCCCAGTTGTGAAAAGGTAGAAAACCACTGATTTATGGATCCCTTTTGGTGGCTTCCAAGAAACCTCTCAAAAGCTGTGCCTGGTTTTGTTGTTCCTCATTTGCCATGTTCTTAGTTCAGCCTGTAACTCATGAATATATCTTGTGCTCCAGGTTTGTTCGTCCACCATTGATCATCTTCTCTGTCGATGGTTTCCGTGCATCATACATGAAGAAAGGTGACAAAGTGATGCGTAACATTGAAAAACTAAGTACGTGCTTATGTTTGACTAAAGCAAACCTTTAATCTTTTGATATTCCTTAACATTGCTGGCATTAAGAACAGAGCATGTATGTTTGTATGTGTGTATAAACATATTCATAATTACTTGGGAGGTAGTCCCCTTGAAGATCTTGGGGATTACTTCTGAATAAACACAGGATTGTACTGCTAGTGCTGTTAAAAGCCATGTTCCATTAAATGGACATAAAGGCCACCCATCCAACGTAAATTGTAATTCCCTTTACATCTGACATTCAGGTATGGGTTTAAAAATTTATATAGTCAAAATTGTGCTGTCCTCGCAAACAGGAAAGAAATTTGCAGGCTCAGCAGGGCCTCACAGTTTGAAGAACTATAAAACATATTTACAAAAGCAAATCCAAGAAGGTGAAGGGAAACTAAAAACAACCCAGTAATTCCTGGGACAACTTAGTGGGCACAGAAAGCTGACTGCTGGGGAGAAAGATCCAAAAAATGGTACAGTGGAGGGAAAGAATGGAGTGGCTTGAAAAAGGGCATTGCTGAGCAACAGGATTGCACAAATGCCCGTTTGTTGTATGTCCCATTATTTCTCAATTATTAGTAGAAAAGAAAAATGGCTGCTTCCATTTTTTCATCCTTTCCTGTGTCTCTCCTATGTAGAGTTGCAGATAGTAAGATCCTCAGTGGAGGAACCTGTAAGGGTGCCACTTGTAGAATGCTATACACACTGATGGAGCGATCATAAATAACTATACTGCACATTACATTTTCAGGATCTTGCGGAACTCATGCTCCATATATGAGACCCGTCTACCCTACCAAAACCTTCCCTAACCTGTATACTTTGGCAACTGTAAGTCACGCATTTGGTTTTACGGGTGCAATATATAGGCTAGTTTTTCTCTTTCTATAAATAATAAAACAGGAGATGAGGAGGGCAAGCTTCTGAATACGTTGTTGTCTTGGTTTGAAGTGGGGAGAGAAAAGGTCAGTGTACCAGTGGTTTGCGTGTACCAGTGGAAGACGCAGTAGCAGCTGTTGCAGTCTGAAAGGTGGTGAAGCATCAGAGCCATGGATGAATACACCCAAGGGGACCCTGGTGGGGACCTGGCAGTGGAACAGTTGAGCACGGTGGGGGTGCGAGAACCTTTGAACTGAGCCATCCTTCCCTGTAACAGCAAAGTCTGGCTTAAGTTTGGAAATGAAATCGAGCTACCCAGAAATAAAGCAGGAGACTGTTTATATTTGGGTAACTCTTTAGGCCCTCAGAAGTGCCTGAGTGTGTAAATTTGGAAGGGAAAAAGTGCCCTGTATGTTTTCAGGCTCAATGAGCTTTCGAATCGACCAGAATATTGAGGGCATGCAGAGAAGAAACTAGAATCCCCCATCTTAATGTAGAGAGGGAGCATCAGGCTTTCTACTGAATCTGAAAAGGGGGTCGTCTTCTTTTTTAAATGCTACCTTTTGGTGGAGTGTGTGTGTGTGTTTGTAAAATTAATGCCCAGTGCAACTATACCAACATCTGGGCTTCTCCACTGGCCATCACTTTCTTCCAACCTGGGGAAGGAGGGGAATGCAGGCAGAAGATTTCAGACTCCATCCTGTTATAATGAACATAACCCTCTCCAACTCACAGGCTTATGTTCATCCTGCGCAGAATGGAAGGAGCAGTGGAGGTGGTCATTGCCTCCCTGTCCTGTCACCCCAAATTTTCACTGCAGGGAGTCTTCTGCTTTTCTAGCAACAGCAATGCTAGTGGCGGAAGGGGTGGAGGCTGAGATGCCCTGCAAAGCTCCTATCTTGACATTTCCGGTCTTTTCTGCTCCCTGTCTACCCCACTCCAAGGTTGGGAATGCAACTAGTGCCATTTTTTCCCTGCTTTGGCCCTGAGCAGAAGAGAAGTTGGAGTTCCCTTCTCATCTCAGAGCTGGGGTTGCAAAATAGCAATAAGCTTTCAGATGCTGTCTAGGGGTCATAGTGTTGTTCTTTTCATCTAGCAATTAAGTCTGTGATTGAGGGTAATTGAGCTGTGGAATGTTGAAAGCAATGGTGAATGGAGGAATTGACCCACTTTAGCCCTGAAGAGCTTCAACAGGGGTGAAGAACTTGTGACACACCAGCCGTTGATGGACTGTAACTCGGAGAACGTGTGTCATAAGGTTAAGTTCACCTGCTTCACTATATTAGAATAAATTACTCTGTTGATAACAATGTGTTCTGGCAGCTCCTGTCCTGAGCCATTAGCTCTACAGAGCACAGAGGGAAGTGTGGAAGGGACACCAGTCTTTCGCAGGCTCCAACCAGTAAAAGCAGGGCTTCAGCTTCAGGCTGGCTGGAGCACAGAAAGAATTGCAGCAGATGCGTGGAAACTTTACCTATATAAATAGATTAGGGCTTCTTTAGAGCAGAGATCAAGGGATCATTAACTGCATTATCCCTCCTGCTTTTTGCTAACTCTCTGGACTGCTTCCTGCCACACACTTTATCTGCACTGACGTACATCCAAAGAACACACACCGAATTGGCTAAGTGTGCAACTGTTAGGAAAACACACTCAACCGTGGTGTTCTAGCGGACCATTCAATAAGCGTGTGCTTGCTCTTCATGTGGGACTATGTACACCCATGTACACAGTGTCATCCTCTCTTTTAGGGGGCTGTAGGGGAGGGGTGTGTTCCCTTGCTGCCTGCTTACGCTCTTCACTTAATTGTTCTATCTGACAGGATTGATGTGCCAGAGAGATTGATTATATCTGTACACATCTACTGTTAAGTCATCACTCTTGCTAGATCAGTACCTGAACTGTGGAGGGAGAGGGGCCTCAGGATCTTTTAGTTACGGGTATTAAAAGCTGCAGGCTGTAGCTAAAATGGGGAGAAGGTAGGAGGCAACTGTGTTTGTTCTTCATTAGAGGCACCTCTCCACTGTCCAGCACAAACCCAGAGTTCTGCACAACATTCCAATCTGTGTTGCCAAATGAAGAATGTGCTTTGGGGGAAACAAAGAAAAGCCCTCCTTGGATTCAAAAGCAATTAAGGAACAATCCTGACCCCCAGGCATTTTCTCAGGGGCTATAGGATAGTTCAGAGTCCCAGCTCTGAGGCTGGAGAGAATGTTTCAACCACACAAATGGAAATTGGAGCTCCTGTCTCATTGCTGTTTTGCTGCTGGAATGGAAAGAACCATGCTGGTTGTTCTTTGAGGCTGGGCAAGCAACCTTGGAGAGGGGTCCAAGGGCGGCATTTCAGGGGGAGTGCAGAGAAGACCTTTCCAGCCTTCATTCCTCCCCTTCTGAAACACCATCCCTAGGCAGCTGCAAATGGCCACCCAGAGAACTGCAGCATGTGAGAAGTAGAGACACAAAGATCTCCCATTCTGAATTGGATGAGTGTGATTCCATGAGTTCAGATGCTTACCTTATCTCCATAGGATTGTGCCATAAAGCTATCCTGTTAAAGTGCTTTGTTTTGCATAAGGACTGTTGCATTGTGAATGAGCTGCTTAATCTCTTAAAGGTGCAATTGTGCATGTTTAGATAGAAAAAGTCCCACCTTCTCCAGATGTTCAAAAAATATATGGGAAGTAAAGTTTTAATAATGTGTAAAGGGTTACCTAACTCAAGTTTGCTATCACCCAAAGGGGCTTTATCCTGAATCTCATGGAATCATTGGAAATTCAATGTATGACCCTGTATTTGATGCTACCTTCAGCCTTCGAGGTCGAGAAAAATTCAATCACAGATGGTGGGGAGGTCAACCAGTAAGTTTCCATTTTGTTTGCCTTCATAAAAAGTGCATCTAAAAGTAGTAGTAGAAATTTATTATCTGTGATTTTTTGTTGGGTATGCAATTGAAGCGCTTGCTTTTGTCTGTCTCACTTTGGCTGGATTGGGGCTCGTAGTTGTGATAAAAGTACTGAGACTTGGTAGGTGTGTGTAACTTGTCTGAACAGGACTCAGTCACAACTTGTTAGTTGCGAAGTCATGTCCGACCCATCGCAACCCCATGGACAACACTCCTCCAGGCCTTCCTGTCCTCCGCCATCTCCCGGAGTCCGCCTAAGCTCACACCAACTGCCTCAGTGACTCCATCTGGCCACCTCGTCCTCTGCCGTCCCCGTCTTCTTTTGCCATCTATTGTTCCTAGCATTAGGCTCTTCTCCAGGGAGTCCTTCCTTCTCATTATGCGGCCAAAGTATTTGAGTTTCATCTTCAGGATCTGGCCTTCTAAAGAGCAGTCAGGCTTGATCTCCTCTAGGACTGACCAGTTTGATCGCCTTGCGGTCCAGGGGACTCGCAGGAATCTCCTCAGCACCACCATTCAAAGGCTTCAATCCTTTGGTGCTCAGCCTTCCTTTTGGTCCAGATTTCACAGCCATACATTGCAACTGGGAAAACCATTGCCTTGACTATACGCACTTTTGTCAGCAGCATGATGGGCAAAAGTGTGATGTTTGGGGATGCTAGAATTCTTGGACTAGTGGCTTGCTGCTCATCTCATGCTCACTTTCTGCTCACATTTGCTGCTTGTTTTACATCATAGGCACAGGAGAATGACTGGGAAGACTTCATGTCAGGCTCCACTCTGCAGCTTGTTTCAAGCTGAGTTGGCGACTAGTTAGGAAAATGACAGTTCGCAATCTGTGCCAAGAGCCCAATCTTGCACAAGATGGTAGATGCTCACATCTGCCCTCACAGATAGTGCGAGGTTGGGAACTAGTAGTGGCAGGTTTTAATTATGAGCTCAAAGGTATCACTGGTTGACTAACTAGGAGCAGGGACTTCAGGCAATGTCATTGGTAGACATGCACAACCGTTGGAACGCGAGGGGGCTGGGGAAGAGCTGTGACCCATTGCTGCCTGCATTATTAGAATTTTACCTTGATCATCCCAATATTATTTATTAAAAAACTGTACATTGTTGAATCAAGTAAACCTCCTAAGCAGTTCATAAACACACCACTATATAAAGCTCAGATAATATAATAATTAAAGCATTTAAAAACACATTAGAATACTGTAACATTCCAAAAAATAATAAGAAGAATCCCTGTGCTTTTTTTCAAGTGATAAATTGAGGGGTGGGGTGGACTATCAGCAAGAATGTCTTTTTGGGAGTGGCACCCAGTCATGGAACAGCCTTTTTAGAGACATTTTTTACCTTTCCCGTGGCCTGTTTGCTGTTACGTGAAGACCTTTCTGTTTGCTAAGGCCTTATAAACAGCTCATATTATCAAGACCTCTTGTTGAAAAAACTTTTGTTTTTAATTTTGGGGATCGCCATGAGTTTTGTTTCTTGTTTTCAACTTTATGGTTTTATGGTGGTTTGTTTCTTTTAAGCTAGACAGAACATTATGTGGCAAATCATGAATAAATAAAATATTTTTATGCAGCTTAAGCCAGTTGGATACAAGTACTGAAATTCTAAGGTGAAGAACTGGAAGCCAACACTGTGGATTTAAAAATAATAATAAATGTTCCTTCTTTATAACCAAAAGTCTTAGCTCTTTGTAATCTGCTTATATTTTCCTAATTAGATCTGGATTACTGCTGCTAAGCAAGGAGTCAAAGCGGGAACATTCTTTTGGTCCAAGTAAGTAGTCTTTATTTTTTGGAAAGTTAGAGTGCACGCACAAGAGGGAACTGCTTTCACAGTAGTTGCAATCTTAAACTTAGAGGCAATGCAATGAAAACTGACAGTGCTTAATTTTTTATTTTAGTAAAGATAGAATGAAGATGTAAAATTGGTTTCTCTGGCTCTATACATCAATAGCTTTCAACTCCTGCATTTTCATCTTACTATTTCTTTTTGTAGTTTCTTAATTTGTGTTTACAATATGCCTTTATGCACTGGACTCATAATGAATGCCCAGTGATTTATGTTGTACCTTTTCAAAGCGAGTCATTGCAAATGCTCTTAACAGTGATCTTTTAAAGCAGGCGCAAGGGAAACTGCTTTTCTTTCAAAAATGTTGGGCTTCAATTCAGGCCCAGCCATCTGTTGAAGGAACCCTGCAAGTTACCTCTGATGGGTCTTTATACTTCTTTTTATAGTGCTATATAAAATGATGAAGAATTTTGGTCCCTACAAAAGGAAACAGCATTGCACAGAGCCCTGAAGTCACTTTTATTTTGTTGCTTTTCTTGATACAGAAACATTCAGACCATGTAATGTGTTCCAGTCTATATTATGCAGCACTGTTGCCTACGGGGACTAATCCTGTAGGTCAGAAATGAAATAAACCAGTTGCTGCCTGCACTACAGGTGCTTCTGGATAAGGCGTTCATGTTGCTATTGTCCAGCCTCCTTCACAGAATTTATGGGAGTCCTGAATAATGTTGTGTTTTCCCACTGCTTTATCTGTCCTATTGCTGCTATCTGTTCAGGAGGGGAAGATGGAATTGCTGCACAGTGTTTTTGATCGGTCACACTAGCAGCGACCCAAGTAAAAGAGAGCTTCCCTTTCCTTCTGGATGCCCATTGACTCTCCCAGCATTACTTAATTCTGCAGCAACATCACTTTTTTTAAGCAGTGATGATACTCAGCTGCGTGGGAGAGAGGGTAGGGGGAGAGGGTATTATTTCCCCAAGGATGTTTGATGCCTTATGGGGGACCCAACACCTTTGTCCATGGCGTGTACCATAACATTATCTCTTGGATGAATCTCTTTTTGAAGTCTTCAACTCAAGGCAAGGAGAAACTGAATTACCCAACACTTGTATGCTTAGAATGTCAGATAAGCCATGATGGGAAGACCGAAAGCCTACTAGAGAGAAATGAAATTAATAACATCTAGCTCAGCATTCTGTTTCACAGTGGCCAACCACATATTTCTGAAAGCCAACAGCAGGACAAAAGTGCAGCAGTATAGCATTGGTATATTGGGGTATGGTGTCTCTGGTGAAAGAGTCAATATTTAGCCATTGTGCTCAGTAGCCGCTTCCCTATATTCCCACCTGCCCCTTAAGATCTGCAGCAGAAGCCCTGCTCCAGGAACCCTCCTTGAAGGATGTTAGGAGAGAACATACTCGGAGGAGGGCCTTCTCGGTGGTGGCACCCCGACTATGGAATGCACTCCCCAGAGAGGTCCGCCTGGCACCAGTGTTGTATGCTTTTTGGTGCCAGGTCAAGACCTTTTTATTCTTCCATACTTTTAATGGTTAATTTTAACTATGCTTTTATGCTCAGTTTGTGGATCATTTATATTGTATTATTTGGGTATCTATGTATTTATGGGATTTGAACTGTAAGCCATCCTGAGACACACTGGGTACTGGATGGGATAAAAATTACCCAAATAAATAAAATAGCCTCATTCTTCTGAATTTGTCTAATCCCCCTTTACAGTTGTCCAAACTGGCTGCTATTCTTGTGCTAATGAAAGTCATGGTTTAAATATCTCCAGTCTGAAGAAAAACTTCATTTTATCTGTCCTGGATTTCCCACCATTCAGCCCCAGGGGATGACTCTGGAGTCTAGTATTGCAAGAACTTTTTCCTTCTCCACACCATGTATAATTTTGTGCACTTCAATTTTGTGCAGACATACCCCTGTCCATTACTCAGCTTTTTCCTAACCCCCAGAGTCTTGTAATCTTGGCTGCATTGAGTCTCTGACATATTTACACAACAGGTGTAAACATTTCTTCTCTGCAGGGAACTCTAGGAGCTATATACTTGTGGCAAGGAACCTCTAACAGATGGCTCTCTGCAGATTTTGCCAAACCACTCAGATTCCCAGCCTTCTTTGGAGTTTTACACTGCTTTATACCAGTCTAAATCAGGCAGGAGTTTATAGAGCAGGTTCTGTCCTCAAAGTGAACCACATTATGGAGCTCAAACATAGCATATCCACCAACTTTAGGTGATCACAGTCCAGTAATGGTTTAGCTGGTGTTTCATGCTGTTTTCTCTGTTCTAGTGTAATTCCTCACGAGCGCAGGATATTAACTATACTGCAATGGCTCACTTTGCCAGACAATGAAAGGTAGGTAATCCTAAACAGTCCCTCTCTGCCACCCTCTTAAATGGTGCTTTGTCGTGGGGAATTAAATGCAAGCATTGCCAGTATCCTTTGTAGACACCTAACTTTGATCAGCCATGTCTGCCCTTCTTGACAAGCTCATGACGTGCATACCTTTTTATTATTATTAATGACACGGGTTAACGTTGGCCGCTGTGTTTAGACTATTGTGGCTTAATAGGCATTGCTCCTGGAGATTTGGGCAGATGTCGTGCTTTTTAATTGTGTTTTCGAGTATCCTGCTAACAGGCACATTGTCATTACCCTGTTTTCCTCCTCCTTACGAAACTCTGGAATGTTCCTCATGAAATTGTGCCCGATGCACCTCTCCGCGTGCCTCCTTAATAGGTTTAATGAATTTATGGAACAACACATTTCCAAATTGGACTGTGCAATACATGTGATTTTCCTCTCTCCTCCCTTCTATTGCCTGCCCCAGGTGAGATGAATTTGTGAGGGCTGACTTGAGCTGACCTGCTAAGGCAGTCTTACCAAAACAGTTTCTTTGCTGCCTGGTGCTCCAGGCGGCTGGGGTTTATGGGAGCTGAGGCCCAGTGCATGCAGGGAGCACCAGATGGGGAAGCCTCTGTTAAAGGGATCTGTTCTGACAACCTTTTCCCTCTTTTCCTTTCAGGCCTTATGCATATGCATTTTACTCTGAACAGCCAGATCTTGCTGGCCACAGATACGGTCCTTTTAGCCCGGAGGTTAGTATAGTTCTTCTGCCATTGATGGTTCAGTGCTTTGCAATTACGGCAAAGCCTTCAAACTGCTGGTCTTAACTGAATGTTCCAAGCAGCTGGTTGTTTCTGCACATCTGTAAATCTCCAATAAGGAAGACAGTTTTATAGATGCTTTATTATGAAAAGAACAGGACAAGTTCCTGAAAATATCCAGCTGTTAAATCCCCAAAGTTTGTGTTTTAGGCAGGAGCAAGATTTTCAGTTAAGTCCTACAGTTTTGGATCTGTAAAGTAAAAAGTGGGGGGTTAGTTGTTACTTTAGCTGCTTTATCATAACTGTAGTAATGCTGTTTAATGCAAGTAACTTATGCGCATTCCCTCTCGCTGTTCTTTTTCAGGAAAGAGTTTTTTTGCCTTTGGCACATGTATTTTATAGGTCTATTTACATGGTTTATATTTTAAACCGTAGAGCCAACTCCCTTGGCTTCAAGCAGCGTGTGTTGTACAAAGCCACTCAGATGGTGTAGGAAAGGGAGTCTATTCCTCTCAAGTGTCCTCTCCTTTCAGCACCAGCCAGCTCCTCCACTGCCTGCATCCCAGTTTTCTTTCCAGTCTCTGATTGCAGCAGGCATTCCAGGCCTTACTCACTGGGAGAACTCAAATAGATTCTCTGGGCTACTTGTGGAGCCTTCACAGGCAGGAGGTTCTGCATCTGATATATAATAGCATGTAGAGCTGATGAGTTGGCCAGAATAGAGGTGCTCCTGGGCAATGAATGATCAGTTGTGAATGTGGCATTATTCTCTGGTAAATGGTGTCCCTGGAAGCCCCTTTCTGGCCACAATCCACACAACTGTGCAAACAGCTCCAGGCTTGTGTTGTATTTGGGTGTGTTCCAAATGATACCCTGGGCCACATGCCTAGCCGCTCATGGAATGGGGGGGGGGGGGAGACTAGGTTGTCTGTGAACCATGTAGTTTTCCCTTGGATCTAAGGTTTCTCCACCATCCCTGAAAGTAGCTGGTAAAGGGTTCCTGATCTGGATTGCAACCCATGCAGCAGGATTTTAACACTGTGTCTGCACTGCCCCAATGTGTTCCAGTCTGTATCAAGGCCCCTGAACTAGGTATTTGTGGAAAGGAAACCTTTAGGTCAAGGTCAAACCATCTGATTACTGTGATGTGTAATCTGGCCCTGAGAGAAGTTTCAAAAGTATGTCCACTGTTTAAGCAGCATTCATAAGAGCACATGCTATTTTGTACAAACACGTTATCAAGAACAATACCTTCCAATGCATTTTTCCAGCTCATTCTTACAAAACCCCTGTGAATTAGGTCTGTATTTCAGTCTCCATGACCAATTGTGAGTTGTGACCAAGAAATAGAGGGTGGGTGGATGGGCCGGTCTGTCTCTCTCTCTACCCACTAGTGGGACAAACTTTGATGTACTCTTTTGCAGAGGTCAGTTTTTGAAACAAAATACCCATCCAGTCCCTGGGCTACTATTAAAGCAAATATATCAGTCCCGAATGATATAGAAATTAGGCATTCCTGATTTATAGGGTTGAAAAAACAACTACAACTGGCTTCACCTTTTTTGGGGGGGAGGTTTGGACTTAGTGTTTCAGTGGACCTGTCTTGTGACTTGATTCATAAATCATTTTAGTGTAATTAAACTTGTCAAAATCAAGATTCTCTGTCTTCATTTCAAGATTCTGGAGTTCTCTCCCTGTAGAGATCTTCCAGTATTCATCCCTTTTATTTTTGAGCTCCAGAGAGCTGGCTTGCTCACTAGCCTACAAAAGTGCTTGGAATGTCTCTGTACTCCAACTTCAAAATAATTCCTGTTTTCCTTCTTTATCACCATGTTGGATGCAGTGGAGGGCCTGGATATCACCCTCATGTTCACATGAGAGTCCCACAATTGTGGTGACAATTCTGCAGGCGCTTTGATCTCCAAACTGCTGCTGGAGGAAAGTTCTTCTCTTGGGCTTATGTGCTAAGTGATAACAACCTTCTCATTTTCCCCAGCAGCAAGTTTGGAGCCTGGGAATAGAGGACCAGGACCTTGACTTCTGCAGGTTTTTCGCTTGGGGATCAAGGCCAGCCAAAAAGCATTGACTCTTGCATAGATTGTCCCCAAGCTTGCAACTCGAAATTGAAAATCAAATTAAATGTGACATGGGAGATGTCATGATAGCCCTCTCGGCTTCTGTCTTCAGCATCATCGTTGCTTGCAGTCAGTCTGCACTGTCTGCCTATGATGATGGCAGGGGGGAACTGGGCCCTTTCCTCCCATGCGCTTTCCACTATATTTAAATCTTCTACCCAGGTCGCATGCTACTGCTTCAGGAGAAGATGAGTACCAAATTCCCCCTCATCACTACAACTTTGGCCTCAATTTCCTAAATTTAAATCAGTCCGTATGGTCATGCAAGCTGCACAAATGTGAAGATTTATCATGTGCAGGAATTTTTTTTTTAAGAATGGAAAGGAAGCATTTCATGTTTGTTTTAGCTTGTTCTGTTTTTAAGGAGCTGTGAGTGGCTCATAAATCACTAGGAAGAAGACCTCAGTGGAGCTCCCTCGGGCTGTTTACTTACTACTCATGATAGCTTGGTCATCTCATGGGACCCTTTTCTCTCACCCGCCCCTTTCCTTTGCACACAACTGGCTGCCCTTTCCACATTTGGAACAGATTTCCATCTATTCTCCATATGGAACTTGAACAACACACAAGAGCTTGGAAGTAAACTTAAGGGAGAAAAATAACATCTTCAGCATTTTTAATTTCCCTATGCACTTCCCTGTGCATCATAACTAGCCCCAAAGATTTCCTAGCTAACCAGTGTCACCCCATATATGCTCATTTAATGGGTTGTTCTGTGACATTTTATATTCTGCTCCATGGTGCATGAGAGAGTTATTGGGGTTAGACAACAATTAAAGAACATGGTGGGAAAATGTAATTAGAAGCCTAGAATTGTAGAGTCGAAAGGGGCCAGAAGGCGCTTGGGGCCAACCCCCTGTCATTGCAGGGCATTAGGTTCCACCATCCCATCTTGATGACTGTCCAGATGACTGTCCAGTTAGATATTAATCTGCTATGACATGAAAAAAAATTATGGGTATCTACCCATGGTAGGTTTTTGTGTCACCTGAACTAAGATGGCTATCTGCAGTGTAGCTTTCTTTTTCCAGCTTTGTGGCTTGTTTTATCCATGACAGGTTGTGTGCCAGCTAAGTCTGGGTGACCAACCCTGCGAATAAAGGGGTGCAAGTGAGGTGCAAGCTAAGAGCAGCAATGCCCCCCTTAAGTGATCTCATTCATGCTGCCACCAGTCACAGCCCCTTCCAAAGTGCCCAGGAGGCACACTTAGGGAGCCATCACTAGCTTGCTGCCCCAGATTCGTCCCATTTTGATATTCAGTTACTTTTAATTGGCCTTGTGCAAATGCAGAAGTATGCAGTTTTGTATGTCCAAAATGGGCATACTTTGGGAATACCTGCTGTCAAAGTGTAACATATGCTGTCCCTCAGCAGTGACCCAGAAAGTCTCCAGATAGTTTAATGTTGACTTTGCTTTCCCCTGGCAACTGCTGCAGGACAGACTGTCAAGGGAAAGCAAAGCCACACAGGATCTTGGCTTATACAACAGGTAGGCGCATTTTTCCTGCCATTTGCAAGGCTTTGAGTGTCACGGTGGCTGCCTCCCCCAGAGGGCCAAGTGTCCACCTCTTTTCCCACCCGTTCTTGTCATTCTGGGTGCTTAGCAGGTGGAAAGGTGCATTCCACCTCCTTTGAAAGCAATCAAAAGTAGGACTTCTTTTAAAAAGCAGGAAGGTAGGCAGGGGCGAATAGGGTAGTTTGGACATGGAAGTGCACTGATTCCATATGAAAAAGAAGCTACAGTGAAAGCCGAAGGGCTCACATTTGTGGTGGGGAGAGGACACAAGGCACCTTCATTGCAGTGAGCCGGGGGTGCAGTCTAGAGAAAAGGGGACAGGTGTCTTTTGGGCACACCAATGGGTTGTTCGGTCAACAAAAACCACCCTGGCATTAGTGTGACATGTGAACTTGTCCATTGAGTTTGTCAGTGCCTGCTAATAGATAATCAAAACTTGCCATGATCGGAACTGGAAATGACCGCAACAGTTTCATTATGTCTTTGCTGCAGTCATACAAACAGCTGGTCATCTTTCATTGTATGTTTCCCAGCACTGCCTGTTACTCCTCTAGGTCTTTGGGGTTCTGTCATTATATCACTAGGAAGCTTGAGTTTGGCGGTGCTGGGGAGAAATATACAGAAAGCAATAGCACCCAGCATCACAGATGCTGGTTTCTGTTGATGCCATTTTTAAGATATCGGGGCCTTGGCTTTTTAGAACCGGTTTTGCTTGTTTGTGATTGTTGATCACTGGAACTGGTGTAGTAAGACTATTCCTTACTGGTTCCAAAATAGCTTCACAGGCTTGCCATCTGCTTCTAGCCAAACGTAATTAGCTAGTGCTTTTCTTTTGAAGCCCCACATTGCCTGGGACCCAGGTTCTTGCTGGCCTGCTGGCAGACATGTCAGACTACAACTCCCATCAACCCTGTCCAGCAATGCTTGAGGGCACTAGGCCGGGGTAGCTGATGTCCGGGTGTCACCTGAGCTATGCGGGTGGCAATTCACAGGAGAACCTTTTACTTTTGGTGCCACATCACGGCACACCCTGCCTGCACTATTGGACTGGACACCTATGCTGTTCTCCTCTCAGCACTGGGCAAATTTATTTCAAGTTTCTTTTTTAAAAGTCCCTTTAAAGCTTGCATAGTTTTTAAAGCTTTCTCATTTGCCTGTATATGAACTGTCTCCCATCTGCCTTTTGCTCTCGCTGTTGATGCTTGGATGTGTTCATCTTATCGCTGGACACCTTGAGAGCATTTGTGCTGAGGCCTGCAGGATAGCAGTTTAATACCTGCTAAATTACCTCCAGGAGAGCATAGCCAAGAGGTAAGGTCAGGACAGTTCATCAACTGGAAAATGCATTTCATTCCTGGTGCTCCATTTTGATTGCATCTTGGAAGGCAGGAGGAGAAGGAAGGTTGCCCCTGAAAAAGTTAGGAATGTGTCTCCTCTGACAGGAAGTCATTAAGGCCATCTCTAGGGGAACTCGGCCACAAAAGGAGTGTGGATAAAGTGATGCCAACATGCATTTTGTTGTGAGTAGAGAGTGTTACTAATTAACCCATAGATGTTCACTTAGAAATTTATTGCTTCTTATTTTATATATAAAAATATTTTTGCTAGAACATCACTACTGTATGTAGTTTCTGTGTCTTTCTAGATTCCTGAATGACAGGGGCTTTTACCTTTCAATGCAAAGCTTTTTATTTTTTATTTTGGTGGCGGGTGCATTGTGCTGATTAATAATACAGGAAAAATATTTAAATCAGGTTTGAGTTGCTGACACCCCTAATGTCTAAGACATTTTTCCTTTCCTTTTTCCAACCTGGTGATTTAATTGGAATCTCTTTGGCACCAATATTTTATAAAATTTATCTTGTTTATTTCTGAGGATAGGAGGATTAACACTATTCACTCTATTTAGCAAATTAATTATTTGTGCTGAACTTTTTGTGGTGGTGTGATACAATGACTAAAGAGATGAGCTCTGAGGATGAGAGTTTCCCCTTTTGACCTCCCACATTGGGTAATGCTACTTGGGTACATCACTGAGTGCTTGAGTGTTTACCTATCAGAAGTACTAACATAAACTAGCTTCTTGGATAATTTTGTATGCTTTGGACTGTTATCTACCTGCACCTAAGCTGTCAGTTCCAGGCATGGGCATATGCTTGGAAGGTGCTCTGCTTGATTTGCAGGGACACTTCCACACTGCAGCTTACCCCAGAAGCCCATGGGGAGCATTTTGGGGAAGCCGAAGCTGTCTTCCCTAGGAGTGAGAGGGCCTACGTGTCTCAAAGCCCCAGGCACAATGAATCAACATGCCTGAGAGCTGGGTCAGAAGTGATGCAGGAGATCTACCACTGGACCTCCCAACCTTTGTTATTTTAAAAAGCAACTTACCCAGGTTGAGATCCCAGTGCTGGCTTTGAAGGGAGACTGGGATTTCTGAGAGATCTGCTCACATTTCCTGTATCAAGGTCTGTTGTGGCTCTGGCACATGAAAAATCCACCATCTCAGAAGCATCCCTAGACCACACCTTTCCCCGGTTCATCACAGTTTGCTATGTACCATTATGGGAAACTATCCTTCAAGTAGAACCTTGGCTGACCAGTTCCTGCCTCTTTTTGGGGGTGATTCCATTATTCTTCCTTCTGCAAAGCAAAAGAGATATTATGCACCATCCTTCTGCCTTTGTATTGATATCTGTTCCTTCCAAGTGAGGCTAAAGTTTGGCTGGTTAATAAAGACATGGCTTTCTTCCTAGCTCTAACTTCTTTAGAAAGGGAAGCTATTACTTTGTGAATGTATGCACAAATGCACAATCTACTCTGAGCATATGAACCAGACAACAAACCCATGTGCTTGTCATTCTGCTGCTCCTCTAACACGCTACCCTGGGATGGCGATTCTGATTATTAGAACCACTTGGTGGCACAGTTAAAGCTCTGGCTGCGCTTCTTTTGGAAAGAGTGAGTAAACTGTGAGAATCCTCTCTCTCTTTTCCCCACCCCTGCTGCGCCTCTCATCAAGACTGCACGAAGCTTGAACTCTTCCTCTCTCTTCCCTCCTCCCGCCTCCCCCCAAAAAAGAAAACTCTGAAGCTGCTTTCTGGAGAGAGAGAGACAAACAGAACCGAATTAGCATCTCCCTTCCAGCTGCTTGCCTAGGAAGCAATGAAACAGCATGGCAGATGGTAACACTATTTTTCCTTCCAAGGAGGCAGCTCTGCAATTTGAACCACAAAGACAGAGAATGGCTAAGCTGATAGGAACAAACGGCGTTGTAAATCTTTGCCGAGTCTCGAACTCTTCGCTGTGCTTCCTTTCTTCTCCAGTTTTTGAATTGGTTGCACTCTCTTCCTGTATGTGTCATCTTGCACTCTTCTGAGAATCTGATCCTAAAAGATGCCAAGAACTCTCATTGGAATAGTCAATTGGAGTTGCATGCAACATGGCTTCTTTTTAAGATCAGTGAAAGTAGCATCCGTGAGCCGTGCATTGCTTGGCCCTGCAGCTCTTCTTTCAAATGGTTTCCCCTCCTCTGGATACATGGACAGCTCATTTCACCACCTCAAGTATCTTTCTTTGCATCCTTCCCCACCAGGAGCCACAGTTATTATGGACAAGGAGTGTTCATGAAAGCCACCTGCCCGAAAAACAAAATGGTACTTTGCAGATCACAATGCTGTGACTTTTTCTCATATATTAAAAAAAAAATATTCTAAAGATCAAAATGAAGGATAGGGCAGTGTGGTTTCTGCCAGAATTGCCTGATATAGTCTGAGCTTTTTTATTTCAACATGTCTTTTGCTGCCTGAGATGTTACCAATTAGGAATCTGGCAACATAGAAATTAAGATGCAAATATTTTATGGCCTCATGCCATTTATTTGAATGGTGAGCCACTGATTATCAACACTGAAGACATAGGTATATTGAGCATCCAGTGAGAAAAAACCATACAATGAACATAAGCAAGATATGGGGCCTTTTCTGTATACAAAATTAAAAATAGACCCCATCTGTGTATTTTTTTCTTGTGAACTTTAGAGCTGTTCCTACAAGTAACTAACTCCTTCCTTTCAGTCGTCACCCTGACTAGTCCTTTGAACCACCTCTGGTGGCTTTAATTTAGACTTTGGTGTACCTATATCTGCTGACACAGGAAATTTCTAACAGTCTCATGGTGGCTGAGATGAGCCTTTTCTGAGTCCAGGCATCTCTCTCCGCCAGTACAGGAGAGTAGTTTTGGCTTACCTCTTACTTCATCTAAAAGACCTAAGAGAAAGATCACTCCTAAGAGGAGACAGAAAAGGCGTGTTGGTTCTTCAAAGAGAAGAAGAAAAGTGCCTAGAGCGGAACAATACTCTGCGGAATCCCGTCGGAATAAAGTAAGTTTCCCGAACTGACATATCAAATTCTGAAGCCCTTGTACAGCTTGGCTTTTGCTTTTTTGTGTTTTGGCACCTTTGGAATTTCCTTCTTCAGGGTGGAACTCCCAGTGCAGCCACCTTGAATATAAACCCAGACTGCTTTCACTGAAGCAGCACAGATAGCCTAGCTTCTCTCTCTCTCTCTTTTTTCCAAGCTTATTAAATAAAGCCTGTCTTCTTAACCATTTTTTAAAAAGTCACACTAGAAGCACCATCAATACATTCTTGGTGCAAAAGTTCATCCAAAGTTCTTCATCCACAAGTGGAAAATTCAGGACTAGCCTTCTGAATCACACTTATTATCATGCTTGATGTTTATCTTTTCCAGTCAACAGTATATTCCGGGAAATTAATATCTACCCATCTGGAGTGTTCTGCCACTAGTACCTGAGAGGTACTGAAGAACATGACCAGGTTGCTTCCTTTCCAGAAGTGGCACAAGGCATCTGTTAGCATCCCCTTAGCTGCTTTTGTAAGATTGCTCTGCAAATCTCTTTGATTTCATGGCCAACAATTTAATAATGGCAGCAGCTGTTTGGGAAGACAAAAGGCTTCGTGGACCTTGATGAATGTTCTGAGGCAATGAAAATGAACAAGTGATATAAGGAAAGGTTTGTGCCAGGCATCCATTTATTTCAGCAGCCACATTCCAGGGTTAGCAATCTTCACTTGGACATGAACGTACTTGTAGGCAAGCAACATGCCCGTAGGGTGCTGTCACTCCAGCTTTAGGCTCGGTCTAGACTAGGAAAGTGAGAAGCTGTAGCTTGACCCAGTTTCTCCAGCTGCACAAGTAGAGTGATTTTTAACATTTGTGTGAGTGTACTTACGTTGCCGCATCAAATGTCTTATCCCAGTGAATTTGGGCATTGGATGTACATGTGTATGACTGGCCATCCTTTTCATCTTGGCAATAACATCAGACTCATCCTTAGAAGTAAACTTTCCCACAAAAGCAAACAAGCCAAAACCACCCCAAACCACTCATTTGAAATTCATGAGTACTTCAAGTTCAAATTCCCAAATATAAAACTTGTATGTTGAAGGGAAGTTCGTATGGAGAGAAATTGGTTGTATGTCATTGTTTACTAAGTGGATAAAATACAATATTAGTTTGCTAAGAAGAACTGTCCAGTTGTTCCTGTTCTTAAATAGGCAATTGCTCAAGTATGCTTTAAAATGTATTTGTTAGATAAAGCATGTGTAATGTGCAGGCTGTATGGTCTCCCCTTGTGAAGCCTTCTAGTTTCTCGTAAAGAACCTGGGGGAACCAAATTTCATTTGAAAAAAAGATAAGAACATTTCTGCAATCATGATTGACGAAATGCCATGGCAAGAACATTCATACTGAATCTCAGTGATACATTGTTCTGTGTCTGACTTATTTTGGCTGTATGCCTAAGATCTGCTTTAAGGGGCGGGTTTCAGGAAACTTTAATTTGTCCAGCCTGCAGTAACAAAAAAGAGTAGTGTGTATAAGCTTGGGACAGACTCATTAAAACCTTGTTTAAACTTTGAAAGCCTTGTGTGATTTGTTCCTTAATACTAGTCTCCAAAAATGATGTGTGTACTTTCTAGACTAGTTTGCGAAGGTTGGGTTGGTTCTTTCTGTAAGTTCACTTTAACCTTGTTAGATCACTAATTTCCCCATCTGATGGGTCAGAATCCACTGCTATTTTGTGGATTTTAAGGAAAAGCTTCAAAGATGGTAAGTCCAACTATGCTCATGAATGCAGTATACATGGCAAAGAACATAACTAAACAGGGAAAAAGTCCATGGGGTAAAAACTATCAGCGTGCATTTCTATACAAGTTGCTAGAGAATTGTGAGAGATTCAGCTCTCTTGCTGGCTTCCCATTGGCAACTGCTTGGCCACTGAATGTAAGAGGATGTTGAAAAAGGTATTTATTTTGATCCAGGAAAACTCATATTACTTACCTTCATCTGATGGGTGGTGTAGAAATGCCATCCATCCATCCCCTTTCTAAAGAGAAAGGACATTATAAACATGTCAGCATAGTGAGACTGTCCCAAGTCAGGAGAGGAGGAGTTGGTTTTGTGAACATATATTGAAAGATGCAAGGCAATTCGAAAAGATTCTGATTCTTTATGCTAATATATATCTATGTATGTATGTATGTAGATGTTGAATCCACTAAGAGATATTGACAAGATCCTGGGGCAACTAATGGATGGACTGAAGCAGTTGAACCTACACCGATGTGTCAACATAATCTTCGTTGGTGATCATGGTAATGCTAACAATAATTTTATATCACAAGTTTGAAGGCTGAGCTAACGTTTTGATCATTTGATCCACAAAGATACAATCTTCTTGAGGGCTTGCAGCTCCCGCGGGCCAAAAAGTATCAGGCACCCTGCTGCCTAACCTCATTCCTGACTGGAGTGGTTGAAGTGAGCTCAAGTGGGAAGCTGGAGAACCCCAGGACAATTGCGCTGAAGCCACAGTCAGTGGATCAGCTAGGGATTTCATGACTTCTGTGACAACCAGGAGCCTTGCTCAGTTATGCATTAGCCTAAAGCATGAGGCAGCTAGACCATCAATTTGGTCTTGGTCTTAGGGGGTGGGTGGGACAGTTTGGATATAGGATGGGTTGTGGTGGATCCATTGATGATCCACCTTCTGAAACTTCCTGAATGCTCTATGGGATTTTCCCATAGCTACAGCAGCTGATTCCACTGAGGCTCCAGTCTCACTCTGGAATGATGAGATGAAACAGTCCGTTGACGTGATGGCTTTGAATCCCCTTCATGATGTTTAGGGAGTCTGGGTTGTTCCTTCTTTCTTGGGAGAACTCTGAGCAATGACATAGATTGGGACGTGTTGCTAATGTTGATGCTATCTGGATGCGAAGGTGATAACCGGAAGAACTACCACGGAACTTGGTGGAATTTGCTTCTTCATAATCAGGCGAAACATTGTACTACAAGTCCACACTTCTCTTTGGGTGAACTATGGGCAGTATTCAACTGGTCATTATGCTAGTGGAAATAATGTTTTGCTGGAGGAAACTAGGTTGTGAAGAATGTCTAACTTAGGGTACGTTTTCACAAGCACAGTTGCAGAAGGGTTTAGGCGCAAGCAGCCCAATGCAACCACCTGCACAAGAGGTAGCATAAATGCAACTGAAGAGTTCATGAAGTTCTGCTGGCCTCATTTGAGTTTGTCAAAGCGTTTGGGGATAGCTGACCCACTGGATGGTAGGAACCCGCGCTGAAACGAAATGATGGACAGCGTGTGAGCCTGCTTGGTCTGCCTTCTCTCAAACAGCAAGTACTTTTGCATGTTTCTTTTGAAACTGTAATGTAATTTATTTTACAGGGATGGATGATGCCACTTGTGAAAGAACTGAATATTTGAACTCTTATCTACCTAATGTGGATGACATCATTTTGGTACCTGGAACACTGGGACGTATTCGAGCCAGAGGGAACAGTAACGTCCGATGTATGTCGATTTTGCAATATTCATCCTGGGCCTTGCAGTGTGCCCCAGTTCTTCCCATGTCGCCCCACTGCCAAGTGCTGTGCCTTGCCTTTATGTTAAGGAGAGATGTCTGCCTTAAAGGGGATTGGGATACAGTTGGTTTTTAGGAATGACAGTGGCTGTATTGACAGATAAGGAAATTCTAGTTTTGGAAGGCTTACTTCATGACACAAAGTGGGCTGGATCCAAAGAGCTGTGAGCAGAAGGTAGAATACAGCTAATGGTGTTGCGTAAATGCTCAGAAAGATGGTGTGCGTGAGTCCACACTACAGGTACGTTCCAGAGCAGTTGCCCTGCTGGTGCTTCCACAAGCTCATCATGTTTCAATTTTAGTTCGACTTTTCTTGCGCTCGGCTCAGATGCAAGGCACACAGCGGTTCCTCAGTGAGTGGAAGGTTCCTTCCATGTGCAAAAGCGCGCTTTGTGGATTCAACCCAGTAGCTGCAATGAAAGCCATGCCATGTGAAAGTCAATTCTTGTACTGACAAGTTCAGCTGGTTGATCTTTCTCCTCTTCTCTCTTTCTTTCTCTCCCATCCATAAAACAGTTGACCCCAAAGCCATTGTTGCCAATCTCACAGTAAGTATTGCCTTAGTACATGTATTTTCCTGTGGTTACCAACTATAGGTTCCCTGATGCAATTTGTTCATTTCATGGATTACATAGCATAAAGTCGACACCCTCCCCTCTCTGTTTTGCACTTTAGTGTAAGCCTGTATACCATGTTGCTTGATCCTGGCCTAACTTATAGCTTAGGCCAGGAGGTTGCTCATCAGAGTCTAAAGGAGGTTGCTCATCATAAGTCTAAAGAACCCTAATAAGTATGGGACAACACATACCATGATTTCCATTGTTCATTGTTTGTAACCAATTTTTGAAACTTTGCTGGATTACCTGCACCCAAATGCCATAATTCGCAAAGGAGAATGCTCAACCTGGAAAATATTCTTTGCTTAGTAAATATTTTGCCACTACTGCACTGAAAATATTGAAATCAATAATAGTAGTAGTAATAGTAGTAGTAATCAGTTTCAAAATGAATTTGGACTTCAAATTAGCCTCTTTGGAAAATGGAAGCTGAATGCATTCTCACATCATTGAGCTACATTTTCCTCTCTATCTCATTTTAAAAAAGGAATAATATATGTTGGGGTGGGGGGAAGTATGAGGTGGGCAGAGTGTAATTCATTTTAGTCATCTATAAAGGATTCTTGAAATACCTGGGGCCCAAGCTGTGTGTCTGGGCATTATTAGCAGTGCATATAAGCAAGGAGCCTTTGTTTGACGGCCACATTGCTCATCGCCCTGCAGGAACTCACAGGTTCAGCCTCTGGCATCCCGAACAGCTGGGAACTGCTTGTAGGAAATGGGCAGAACCCCCTGACTGAAATCTTGGTGAGCTACTGCCAGGCTGAGGGGCAAGACTCGACTCATCAGGGCCAGTGGTCTGACTTGGCATGAGCATTCTAAGAGATGGGGCAGGGGGTCTGTTAAGCAAGATTCCTGCCTCTGTCAGCTGATGGATTGGATGATGCCCTGCCAGGCCTTCCTCTCAACTTGCATTCATTGTTTCAGTGCAAGAAACCTGACCAGCACTTCAAGCCCTACTTGAAGCAGCATCTCCCCAAGCGCCTGCATTATGCAAATAACCGAAGGATCGAGGACGTCCATTTGCTGGTGGAGAGAAGATGGCACGTGGCCAAGTAAATGCACCTTTTCCTCTCCTCCTGACTTCTTTCTTCTTTGGTTTGGTTTGGGTAATGGGAAATCTCAGCTTCTGTAAGAACATTGAGAGTGCTTAGGTCCCCAGCTGCAGCCCACAAAACACCTGCCTTTTTACATGTACACAAAGTCTGTGTGTCTATTTCTCATGGAACATTTATGAACAATAGTTGAAGTGTTCCTTGCAAGCAAATGCGGACATGTTTTTAGCACACTTTTAATAAAAGCTGAATAGGGCCACCAAGGGTCGAGGGAGGAAAAACGCTAAATGACCTATAGGTTGCACAGTGGCAGAACTGAATAGTGCAACTACACTATTCTTTTACTTTTACAATTAACTGCTGCATTTTCCCACGAGAGAGAGAGAGAGAGAGAGAGAGAGAGGGAATAATAAAAATAAAGCTGAAGGGTCACACCACTGTCTAAATAAACCAGGTTGTTCTTACAAAATTATATGATGTATACTTTTATCATCATCTCTAAAATTGCTCATTTTGAGGCTAATGAACTGACATGTGACTGTTCTTTATGTGTCTTAATTCTTAATGTTGCATCTCTGGATCATTTGTCCAAACATTATCCCTAAGGCATCCTTCCATTTTGTATGTAATACTCCTTATTGTGCAGTAGTCCTTCTTATCAGACGATGCTGTATTTATCATGGAACCTGAGAAATGCATACAAAGGTCACTAAGGAGAAGAACAGATTGTGTTTCAGAATATAGTCCCCAGGTCACCATCTGGAAAACAATAATGGGTCTCCTAAATGCGAAAGTTGGCCATTTCTGTCCCTAATAGATGTGGGAATGGCCATGTTTCCCTGCTGTGTTGGCAGTCAGATATGAAGCTGTAGCTGAGCTAGCCAATGGCATGCTAAAGAGTCTTCTTAAACACCTAGGAGGCCTGGAGAACTCATTAAGAAAACACCTGGAAAGTGCTTTTTCCACGGAGACCATGGGTATGACAACAAGATCAATAGCATGCAGGTAAGAGCAGCAGAATCTTTAGCATCTGGGTGGCGGTTGGAGAAGGTAGCCTGTAAGTGTGCATGGCTGATGTGCATGATCCTGCCTAATCTTGGAAGCTAAGCAGGGTCAGGCCTGGGCAGAAGTGGGATGGGTGACCTGATTGTATGATTCTATGATTATTGCTGTCAACTGCCTAGAGAGCTTTGGCTATGGGCAGTATAAAAATGTAATAATAATAATATGCATATAATTTATTGCAAGTTACAGTGAAATTACATGTCACAATCCAACATTCTCCCTATGGGGTAAGCTGCATGGAAAAGGTGGCGTATTCAGTACTGTTGAATAATCTCATGGGCTGTGTCCTTATTGCTTGTAAATGCCTAAACTTGGGGGCTTGTGTTAATCCTGTGCAGAGCAGGAAGGACAGCAGAGATTATTGTGGCCTCCTTGTAGCTTCTGCTTGGCCTGGATAGCCGTTTTCTCTCTTGGGTCCTGGCCCCTGCAGTCATCTTTCTCTATCCACCAGAATAGCCCCTTTATCCCCTTTCTGAGACTGAATTCCATGCTCTTTCTTCCCATGCGAACTGTGTGTGTGCAGAAATTGGAGCATGGATTCCCTACTAATTTTAGATCTCTTTTTCTGACCTGAGAATCCAATGTGTCCTATTACTCCTTCAGAAGCTGTTTAGGCACTGCAGGATCAGTCCCTAACACATGCACCTCGGTATTCTTCTGGGTGTTTAGCTCCTAGGCTCTGGAACTTTCTTCCTTGTGTGTCCAGTCTCACTTCTTCACCAATGAGCTTCTGCAATTTGGTGAAGGCCTTCAGTAGGACAGCATCCAATCTTTTCATCAAGGACTGCTTTTTAATACGTTAAATATTTTTGATTGCATTATACTATGTTTTCTGCTGCTGTCTCTGTTATGGAGGGATATTTTTAACAGTTAAATATTCATTTATTATTATTATTATTATTATTTATTATTATTATTATAACATTTCTATGCCATTTTGAACTACCTAGAAGTTGTCAGGGTTTTGAACTACCTAGAAGTTGTCAGGGAACAGGCAAGATGACATTCATAGTAACTCCAGGTAAAAAGGACTAGGTAGCACTTCTGAGAAAAACCTACACCTTTTTTTTTTTAAAGGACCTTAAAGATTTGGAAAGAAAGCTGGGTAGGAGTAACTGAAATGCTGAAGTGGGTAGAGCAACTTTCTTATGAGGAAAAGTTATAACAGCTGGGATTGTTTACTCTGGAAAAAAGGCATGTAATGGGAAAATGGTAGACGTGGACTGAATGATTCATGGTATGAAGAAAATAGATAAGGACATTTTTCTCCCTCTCTTGGCATACTAGAACCCAGTGGGGTCCTCCAATGTTGCTGATAGGTGGAAGATCCAGGACAGATCAAAAGACGTTCTTCTTCACATAGTGCATGGTTAAAACTATGGAATTAACTTCCAGTGGATGTATGATGGCTTCCACTCTGGATGGCCTTAGAAGGAGAGTGGACCCATTCATGGTGGATGAGGCTATCAGTGGGTGCTGGTCCTAACGGTTCTAGGCTACCTTCAGAATCAGAGGCAGTCTGTCCATATACAGCACTTGCTGGAGAGCAGTTCCCCTGCTCTGCTCCAACTTGACTCTTACGTCAGAACTAGTCAGAGGACACCATCCTGGGCTAGGTGGACAAATAGCCTGACCTCATCTATATAGGAATGGCAGAGAAAGCTGTACTGGACTCAAATGAGTTTAGATTTCCATGAAACCAGCCCACAGATTCTGGGGCCAGTTTGCTTTTCTGGAGTGGATTTTGTGGACTTGAGAACTGTTAGGCCCCTTTCAACTGTATGATTCCCCTAAAAAACTAGCCAAAGGGCACATTTGTTTACACAAAATCAGGTTATGTCAATGAGCAGATGATGGAACAAAAAGCACTGAACAGTCTGCAAAATGTAGATGGGATGAATTTTACAAAGTCTCTCTGTCTCCAGGTCCAAGGTAGGTTCCTACCTACTCCTTGGGTTCAACTTAAATTACTTCTGGCTGGAGAAGGTTCATCTGATATTTTTCACACATTCCCAAGTCTATCTTGAAAGGGCTGGTATTTTATTTAAAAACACACAAAAAACTGAGAAGTCATGACTTTCTGGAGACTGGATATATATCAAATAAAAAATATTGTGCAGAACCACCAAATGAGACTATCCCTAATTAAGTTGTTGCTTTTTCTTTTCTCCTCCCCATTTTCCTCATAGACTGTTTTTGTAGGGTATGGACCTTCATTCAAATTCAGGACAAAGGTACCACCATTTGAGAATATAGAACTTTACAATGTTATGTGCGGTAAGTGAAATCACTTCATTTTTGTGCTAAAAATCAGCGTGAAATAAGATGTCCTAACACCTAAACTTCCATTTTTGCAGCTAGAACAGCAGAATCCAGAGTCTCTTTGATGCAGGGTTATTTCCCAACAACAAAAACCACTGTTATAATCTGCTGCCATTACCAGAATTTTATCTTGCCCTTCAGATGGCAAATTAATTCAAGGGGCCTCACCGAAACTGTTTCAGTTGGGCCTTTTTATTTTTCTCCCCAGCTTTGTTTCAGTTTGTATCCACTCACTCGAAGGACAGATTGTCTATTTCTGATTATGCTCCAGTCTCATTAAAGCTGTCCTGAGGGACCTTCCCTAAATCCTCAGTGTCATGGTGCCCCTTGAATGAGCAGGTGTTCAAGGTGCAGGTAGCCCCTGAACTTAGTAGCCTACTTTATCCTAAATGAGGGCTCCACATCTTGCTGTCTGAAATGAGAACTGAGCAAGGCCTTCATGAGAGGTGGAACAACAGCATACGTTTTCAATAAAAATGGAGAGGCCACTTTGGAATAGCAAGCTTAATCTAGAAGTAAAATCATCCCCGGCCCAATTTGCAGTTGACCTCTCTCCAGCACTGTATAAAGGTTTTTAGGAAGAAGAAGATTTAAATAGCTTATTGTCTTCTAAGGCAGAATTTGCTTTTATACATCTTGGCCAACATTACTGGGAAAGAAGAGAAAAGCCAGGTAAGTTTTTGGCATATCAGCTAAAACAACATGGGGCAAGAAATTACACACCACTGATAAAAGATAAAGATAACAATGCATGTAAGACATCATATGACATAAATGCTCCATTTCAATAAATTAAACAAAATCAGACCTTTATAATAAAGAGAGAGAGCCAAATGTAGAAACAATTGCAGCATTCTTGCCTTGGTTGAATGTTCCAAAATTGAAGTCAGCATGGCAGATTCCTGCTGGAGCTCCTACAACGAGACGGAATCACATGGGCAATCAAAAGAACGAAACGCCGCAACCCAGATGGGGTTTATACAGAATGGCACAAAGCCTTTGTTTCTCCATTAATTCTTAAACCTCTTGAACACTGTCAAAGCATTCTTGAAGCTGAAGCATCACTAAAAAAGGTCCACTTTTCTGTCATTCCCAAACCAGGAAAATGTCACACTAACTGTGCAAACTATAGGCCAGGCTCAATAAGCAACGCAGACACAAAAGTCTTTGTGGTGGTGTGGATTAAATACAGTGCAGGAAATAGTCACAGCATTAATATACTCTTGCTTTAGCAGGAGTTATTTGTCATGGGCACAAGGAGCAGGTAATATGAGAATATCAATTGACCAAATTTGTTTGATCTAATTTTGCTCTGGAAGGGGAACTAAGACAATGCCGGGCAAGCCTCCATGGTGAGGACATTGCAAAAGTGGGGCACCTTGACTGAAAAGGCCTTTATCTAGTTGTCCACCTGCTTGATCTCCTGAAAGATGAGGCCACCTCAGACAGGCCTCCAGGGGCAATCTGGGAGCATGGGAGGCAGGACTTCAGATAATGATTCATTGTGCTGCTGAAGCAAACTGAGAAGGGCATCCAAGTCACTCCTACAAATTGTTCTAGACTTCACATGTCGAGTCAGCAGAGTATGATAAGGTGACAAAGATGAATATGAAATTCTCTGAGAACTGGAAGTTTTCCAGCACATTTTTCTCCTCTTCTGCTGCTCTACCGTTTTTCTGAATTAGGAGCAGTTTCCTTTTACTGCAAAACTGAATCAACGTTTTGCATATTACACTATAGCAGTCCACAGCACATTGTCTAAATTCAGTTGGTCATGGGTGATTGCATAGGTGAGCAGGACATGTAGAACTGAAGACCTGCTTAGGTGGTGTTACACTTGATATGGTGGTAGGGATAAAGTTGGTCTTGCAGCCACCTGAGGGCCTTGCATTGGACCATTTGCATGGAGCCATGCATCCACAAAGCTCATAGTCTGTAAGTCCCATCCATGAGGGGATTGTTCTGTAGACCTGAAATGCACCGATTGTTCAGGTGGGACCTTTCAACCTTGTTTTTCATCTCCTAGGTTAAAATCCAGTGTGTGAGTGTCAGGTGGAGGTGGAACATGCTGGGGAGGTGGGCTAGGCCAACGTGATCGCAGTGGCACAAAGGGTTTGCATCTGTTCATAGAACTTTACTTCCATGTATTGTGCTCTTGTGTTTTGCTGCATTCTTCCTAGTGTGGCACCCTCCAGAAGGTTTGGACGACAGCTCCTACCATCTCTCACCATGGGGTGTACTGGCTGGGGTTTACAAGAGCTGTGCTTCAAAATGTCTGGGGGTTACCACATTAGGGAAGGGTTTGTTGCACTCTAGGATTACCAAGGAAAGAATACTGGGCTGTTATTCAGGAAGAGGCCAGTTCAGTTCTGAATGACACAGTGGAGTATTACGACAGAGAATCAACAAGTCATGGTGCGGGACACAGTGTCCGGACATCTAGCCCAGGCACTGTGTCCCTGAGCGCACCATTCTGTTTCCCATATGAGAGCGGGTTGCTACTCAGTCTACTGGGAAAAAATGCTGCACTGCATCTAGGAACAGTGCCGCATGAAGAGCAAGGCATCTTGGCCTCCACCTGCAGTACACCCATGGGCAATGTGTCTATGTATGATCCTTGTGTGCACTCAGAAGGAGAATCTGTGCATAGCTCTGCCCTGCTGGACTGGACTGCAAATATTGCTGCCTTTTTGTTTAGTCGCAGAAAATCCATTTCAGAACTTTAATCAGTGCTCACCTTAAGTGCTACTGCATGTTCATCCCTCTCCAGATCTTCTTGGGTTAAAGCCTGCGCCCAATAACGGGACCCATGGAAGCTTAAATCACCTCCTGCGGACCAGTACGTATAAAGCAGCCATGCCAGAGGAGGTTGCAAGGCCGCTCTATCCTGTAGCTGCAGCAGCGTTGGCTGACTACGAACTGGGATGTTCCTGTGATGACAAGGTAGGCTTATGGCAGGAGGTGGTACTTGGTGCCCTTCAGGCGATTTCCTTGTAATCTCTGCTAGGAACATGTGAAGTGCATAATGCTCCTAGAGGTCTCCTGGAGCTTCTGCCTGGTAGAGAAGCCTGTAACTTTTCTCATCTGCTGGGTCTGTCACATGATTTGTACTTCCGGGCACTTTGGGTGGCCACTTGGGAATGACTGAAAAGAAGCCAAAAGAGAGCAGTAATGTGCACCCCGTGGGCTCATTTACATTGGACATTTAGAAAGTTCAATAAAAATAGAGTAAAATTTACCATCCTGGGGAACTGCTGCTCAAGTCTGCTGTCCAGGTACCATTGATGAACAATTTTAGGACTCAAAAAGAGGACTGGCCTCTGTGGGCCACCCTACAGACATGGCTCGTACTAGAATGGATTCCCTTTGTGATGAGGGACACTGTGAGCCAGCCTCCTCTGTCAGAATTGCATCCAAATATAAAGCAGTGCTTTGCTTAGTTGAGTTTCCTCAAATGTTCAGAGAGTGGTAGGCAGCTTGATGCCTTTCTATGTACTGGACTACAAATCCCATAAACCCTAGTCAGCATTGTCCAAGGTTTAGGATTATGAGAATTGTACTCCAAATCATCTGGTGGACACCAGGTTGCCTACCTGTGTGTTAATGAAAGAGGGAAAGAACCTAAATTTGGATGCCAGGAAGTATTTCCTGACAGTTAGGACCCATAGGGTATGGAATAGGCTTCCATGGGAGGTGCTTGAAGCCCCATTGATGAGGGTGTTTAAGGATAGGCTGGACATGCACATGGTAGGCATGTCATGAGCGGAGCCGGCTGGAGCCCTTCTAATAGAGGACACCTTCAAAACAGGCCAATCCTTCAAGAAGAGGACTGGCCTCTGAGGACCACCCTCCTGACATGGCTTGTACTAGAATGGATTCCTGGGAATCATTCTATCAATCCAATCATCCCTTCTGACTTGCTCTAAGCTTCTATGGATATTTATTCTTGACCATTTCAAGCCAGCCTCACTCAACCTGGTGTCTTCCAATTGCACCGGGACTGGAATTCCCATAATTTCCAGCCAGCATGGCCTATGAGATGAGGAGATAATCAGTTCAACACATCTGGAGGCCACCAATTGGAAAAGACTGTGCTAAACCCTTGCAGAACAAGGGGTAACATCAGCCCCAACCCCTGTCTTCCAGTAAGCCCGCTGAATCAAGGGCTTAGACAACTGTCCCTTTGACCCATGAAACTCCAGGTCTTTTGGACCTGTTTGCTTTGCTTTAGTCCACTGTGGGGAAGACCCACTTCACTCCAGAGGTTGTTGAAATACCTCCAAAATACCTCTGAAGTAGCTTTGCCCAAAACGCACATGCAGCCGTACTGTAGCCTTAGCCAGTTGGGAATCATGGCCGGCAAAGCACTAACTCCAGCCATCTCCTGCCTCTCACATCCCTAAGGACAGGAAATCTTTCTTCACATCTGGCTTCTATTTGGTAGCATTTCTTCACCACCCTATAGGTTTAAAATTGCACTTCTTTTTCATGGCAATGTGGAAAATATGTTCTATGGAGCAATGCAGTAAACATTTGTATTCATTTGTTGGTAATAAGATAGAGGCATCACCAAGAAAACAAAGTTGACCTTTGCATAAATGTGTACTTTAACAATGCGTGATGGATTGTTTCCATGGGATGAAACAAAACTGGACAACATCCAAAATTACCCAAGGAGACAAAGTCTCAAGAAGTTGAAAAAAATATATACGCTTTTATCCTTGAAACAGCTGAGTGCATTTGGTCCTGCATGATATAACTGGGTTTTCTTTAGGGAGTCAGTCTGATCCAGCCTGTCCATAAATCTCTAGCATGCCCTTTGCTACAGCTAGTGCAAAGTGGCTTTCACAAATTAGGAAGCCTTACGAATAAGTCTTTTGACGGGACTAGTGTTGCTTGGCTAGGTAAATATTGGAGCTGGGAATAAGAGAAGGTTCTCTTAGTTCTGCTGCCAATCTTCTATGTGCTGGTTTGTTTTTAAAAAACAGAATAAGTTGGATGAACTCAATCGGCGTCTTCATGTCAAAGGAACTGAAGGTAAGGATACAATGGCAAACTCAGTAAGTTATGCCCTATAATCAATCATTCAATCAGTGTTTGTGTCTGTCGTATGTTATCTGAATCCTTTTTCCCATATGCATCTGTAGTGCCGTGCCTTGTGCTGTGGAAATAACACAGTGAATAACACGCCATGGGATCAATTGTCTAGGCTCTGATGAGCTGAAATGCAAAAGTGATTGATTTTGAAGTTGGTGATGTGCAAATATATGTATATTAATAACATTTGCAATTTCATTAGTTAAATAATTGGCATTACTTTTCTCTGATAGAAACAGAGCGAGTCAGAAGGGGCCTCCCAGGCCATCTAGTCTGACCCCCAGCTCTAGCCGGCTCTGCTCATGACATGCCCACCATGCGCATGTCCAGCCTATCCTTGAACACCCTCACCATTAGGGGCTTCAACCACCTCCTGTGGAAGCCCATTCCATGCCCTGGGGGTCCTACCCATCAGGAAGCACTTCCTGGCATCCAAATTGAACCTTGGTTAGAAACCTCCTTCCTTAGAGCTCAGCAAAGAACTACCCATATAAGCTTTTCTCCTATTTTTGACCTATGGTCCTAAAAAATTAACTCTAAATGCTACCAGTGAGCTCTCCTGTCCCCTCCTTTTTGGGAGCTTGGTTCAGAAATCAGGAGGTAGCTCAGTTTTATTTTGAAGCCAACCAAAATTCATTCCCACTCCTACCCTGAGGCCTCGCCACCTTTCTGTACCACCCCATGAAACAGCTGAGGTGTAGCTACAAAGGGCTGCAGGGAAGGGAAGAAAGAAAAGAAAGCACTGGGACCCTTGCATGGCGCCTGATCCCATTTTCCCATGCGGATACAATATTCCCAAGGGCTATTAAACTCGCTTGACCCAGAATTGTTGGGGCCAAACAACAGTGAGTGAGCAAGCTGCCTCTTACACACTTGCAGGGTACAGTTACAATCAACAGCACACTTTTCCTGGATGTCTGAACCAAGAAATGGGGGTGACAAGCCAGGGTTCACCCCACAACAAACAAGAGCCAAGGTATTTTGCTGCCTGCAGCAAAGGACAAGCTGGCCCCCCTTCCATTCCACAGAGAAAACCTGACTAGCTGGGAAGCTCAATCGTTCTTCAGACCCCGGCAGTGGGGCAGTGTCTTCTTCCACACCTGAAGGCAGCTAGTGTCACCTTCCCTGTACCGGCCCCATGTGGCAGCTGCCCCACTCTGCCCAAGGGCCAGAGGCACAGAATTGGCTGAGGGTCCAAGCTGGAGAGCACCCATGGCTAACCTGGGTTTGCTGCTGCTGCATAATGCTGGGAAGGACCCTAAAACCACCTAGTGAGTTTACTGGAGAGGTGAAATATTTATGAAGGACTTCCCTCTGCAGCCTTAGTCAGCCTTTTCCAACCTGGGCCCCTACTGATTTGTTGCATGACAACCACAGTCACAGACATGCTGACTATGGATGATGGGAGCTAGAGTTCTGCACCTCTGCAGGCAGCGCTGGGTTCAGGAAGGGATCTCTTAACTAGTGTACCATATGAGCTTCTCCCAGAGTGTTGTGACTCTTTTCTGCAATGCAGTATGGAAGGGGGTGTGTATGCGTATGTGCCTGATTGTGGTGATGACATGTATATGTAAGTGTATGCATTTGATTTCTTACTTGCTGCATGCTTGTCTTTAACTGGCAGATAAGCACCTCCTTTATGGCCGTCCTGCTGTTCTTTATCGTACAAAATATAGCGTCCTGCATCACCATGACTTTGAAAGTGGCTACAGTGAAGTATTCATGATGCCGCTTTGGACATCCTACACCATTTCCAAACAGGTCACTATGCTATTGGAATCTTTGTCTGAGTGGGAGGGGTTGGGAGGAGGGAGGCCATGAAAGGGCATTGGCAAAGTGGCAAGAAGAAGCAAGACAAAGGGGCGCTAAGCACATGCCTTGTCCAAGTGACTGGAGAAGATGTCCCCATAATAAGGCAACCCTCTGAAGGCTGAGGGCACATCCAAAGGCCCAGAGCAAGGGTACTTTTTGTGTATGATGTTCTGTTTCTAATTTCTGGAGCTTTTGACTGTTGCCAAGTCATGAAGGCCTGGATTGCAAGTGAGCAAATAATTAATCAAGCGAGACCATTTGGACCAATTAATTTGCATAGCACCATCTGTGAAGTTGATACTTTCTTGAATAACACAAAGCACAGAGACTATGTCTTGCCCTGAGTAGCTTTCCATCTAGTTCCTGACAAAGTGCCAGGCAACAGGGGGCACGGGAAACACCCAAGGCAAGAGCCACTGGCAGGTTAAAGTTTTGAGGAGGCAATTCCATTCTGTGGGCCTCTTGTCACTGGAGTTCTTGTATTCTGGTATGGAGATTTGGATACCAAATGCTTGAGCATTCTATCAGCTCTGAAGTGTGTGCATGCATGCATGTATATTCCTGGCCATATTCCTTGGTTGTTGCTCCAATGGAGTTTAGGAATCAAGCTGAAAATGTAGGCAAGCACCATTTTTCTGGAGCGGGTTTGAAGACAGTAATTAGCATAGCACTTGATTTATGGAAATAATTCTACAAGCTATGGTGGTATCCACTGGCTTATATCAGTGGTGCACAGTTTGTGGTTCTCCCAATATTTGGCTTACACCTCTCACAAGCTGAAGAGCATTTCTACGAGAGACATCAGCTGTGCACTCCTAACTCCTCCCTGTTTATGCGTTCTTCAGATCCTCTTGATCCTCCAGTTTCATTCTGTTTTCTTGCTACCCTGCCTACCTTTTTATCTTTTGAATTGGGAAAATGAGGCATTATTTCTGAAATGGAAGTAAAAGGGTTTCCTATTTGTGCATTTGCACTATTCTACGACAGTATAGTATCACCTAGAAGTTATGTGGTGGGAAATCAGGAAAGGGGATATTCTTTGTATAGAGCTTGGCGCTCGGTTCTTCAACAAAACTGAAAGTAGGCACAGTGCTTAAAAGGCTTGTGTAGAAAAGCTCTTAGCCAGTAGTACCAAGAGTGAAGGATCATGGAATTGTAGGTTGAAACATCTGGAGAGCCAGAAGTTGTCCACCCCATTTAAGATGGTTTCTTGGAAGAGTGGTCTATTAGTCATGGTGGCTATAGAAAGCTTTCATTTTTGGAGGCTGTGCATTCCACCAAGTGTTAGTTACTGGGAAGCAACAGCAGGAGTGGAAAATTTGTGCTCATGTCCTGCTATCTGGAAGCACATCCCTTGACTCTGTGCAGTCAGGATGGGGATGAGAGTGGACTAAATACCTCTTTGCCATCCCTCCTCCTCTTCCTAGGAGGTACAGGTATGTGCTATACTCAGATATTATTCCTACTTTACATTATGTGTATATCCTGCCATCTTTCTGCGTGTAAAGAACCCAAAGTGGCTTGTAAGGTTCTCCTCTTTTCCATTTTGTCCATATGCAGAAAGCATTGTGAGAATCACTCCTCAAACGCTGCTAAATTCCTTTTTGTTATCAGGCGATGGGCAGGGCTGACTTGTTTTTATTGATTGCATATGAACTACTCTGTGATCCTCTTCCATCTGAAGGGCAAGATAAAAATGCTTTAAATGAACAAATATATTACAAGGGCCAAACATTACCTTAGGTGGCGTGCAGGATGTGTGTGCTTTGGACAAAATGCCAGCTCAGGGCCTTTAATTTAGTCCAGAACGGCAGCAGAGGGTACAGAGTTAACAATCCCTACCTCCATATGAGGGCTCTGATTCAGAGAAATCCCTGCTCTGCTGGTAATTTGTAAATAAAACAAAATTTGTAAATAAAACCCTGTACTATGTGGCAAAGATAATGTGTCATTTGGCTCAAAGACCAAATAGAATCTGGCAATAACTGAATGAATGGATGAATCCAATGCTCTTGTTACGGCAACTGTCTAGACCAACACTTTTTTTTTTTCAAATATCAATAGCCATTCCTTTAAAGCTGGCAGCTAAAAGTGGAGTATTGTAATATCTTCATAAGTATATAATATATATCTTCCATTCATATACAAACTACGCCTCTTCTATATAGCACAACATATAGGATTTTGCAGCGTGCACAATTATTTGCAAGACTTAATTATTATGATGCTCATTTCACAGACTATGAAAAAGCTGAGAAGCCTGACATATTCATTTTTTATTTATTTAAAAAAATCCTGTGCTGTCCCATTACTAAAAGTCTCTGGACGGCTTACAAAAGACAAACAAACAAACAAACACCAAGAACAAAGAAACCATAACAACGGCACGACACACAGCACACTGCATCCAATAAATAATGACAAAAACAAGGATAAAACCAATTAATTGTTAAAACATTCAGCATTCCAGCATTCTCATTTAGATTGTGTTAAATCGGCTTAGGCTCTTGTAGAATTTGAGGCACCTCAAAAAGTTATGTATTTGCAATGATCTTCATCTGAAACAGAACATAAGAGTAGCGCTTCTCATTCCTCCTCGTTCATTGCAGGCAGAGGTGTCTGGAGTCCCAGAGCAGTTGGTCAACTGTGTACGGCCAGACCTGCGCATTTCTCCAACCAACAGTCAGTGCTGTACGGCCTACCGAGTGGACAGACAAATGTCTTATGGATTTCTATTTCCTCCCCGTAAGTTGAAACAGGACGTGAGGAATGATTTTGCTATTCACTGCCAATATGAATAGTGATACAAAACTTGGGCTGGGATGTAAAGTACGGATGTGAGCACCTAGAGAAGTTCCCTCTTTGCTTCCAGAATTCCCGTGGCTGAAGAGGCAGGCCACGGCTTAAACCAAACAGCTGTGGCCCTCTTTGGCCCACATAATCAAGCAGTGATCTTGGGAAGAGTTGACTGCACATTGTATTACTTGCAATAAAACATGGAGGTGTAAGTCTGGCGATATTGGTGGGGAGACCCTCTGCAGAGGAACATAGTCGAACTATGGAATTGGCCACCACAAGATAGAGCGATGGCCACCCATTTGGATGGTTTCCGTCAGCCGTTTTCCTTCAGCCAACAGAATTACCTTACAGCTTTGGGCCACTGTGACTACGCTAACCTTTGTTGCTGGAAATAGCCGCTGCACATATAATGCAAACTGAATATGTAACCATCATTTAGCATGGAGCAACTGGAGGTTGTTCCAACTCCTGATGTTTCCTTCTGGTAGAAACCTTTGATAGCCCTGCAGTCCCTTCTCAGTATCAGCTCCATGCCACCACTGAAGGGTGCCAGTGCAAAATAACCCTGACATGCTAACTCTTCTTGAATTTTTTCCAGAGCTCAGCTCCTCAGCAGAAGCAAAATATGATGCTTTTCTAATAACAAATGTCATTCCAATGTATCCTGCCTTCAAAAGTAAGTGCCCTGTTCTTATGATTTGGTTTGGTAAAATCCAGTTTCTGTCTCATAGATGGGCTTATCTATTATTTATTGTAAGCCATCCTGGGACGTTCTGTAGGGGACGGGATAGAAAATAAGTAAATAAAGGTGGTTGTTATTTAGAGACCTAATTAGCTCCACTATGGAACACATTTTGTACACATTTGTACAGAAACAGTGATTCCTCCATCTTCCCGAGAAAATACTATCAGATTCAAGAGAACTATTGTGTATTCAGCTGCATTTCCACTGAGTTTAGACCAATGTCTACCCATAATGCCACCTGAATGTTCTACCAGGTGTGGGCTACCTGTGAAGGTATCAGAATGTTACTAGTTTCTGCGGCACTATAAGAACCAATCTTGTGCACTTCAGATATGCATATAAAATTCCTATCAGTTGGCTGTTTTTTCAGGTTGCCCAGACATAGCTGTTCTTCACTTACTTACATATTTACTTACTTACTTAGAGATTTTTAAAATGTTCTTTCAACCAAGGATACCAGAATGGTGCTTCATGATATCTTGTGATGCTTCATTTCATACCTTCCTAACTGCAAGAGCCCATGCCAAAACACAAGCTATAAGTTGGGTATAGAGTGACAGGTTTGGATCTTGGTTTTTCCTCTTACGTGTATGCTGTGATCAAGACCTGAGGCTCCCTTCCTCCCCAAGGGAGTTTGGGAGGATGGCAACAAGGGAGAGCTCATTCTCAGTAGTAGCACCTAAATGTGGAATGCTTTCCTCCATGAGGTCTGCCGGGCCAGGGCAAGACTTTCCTCTGTTCCCTGGCATTGCACTGTATATGATGGGCTTCTTGATTTTACTGGGCATTTTAAATTTCAAAATGCACTATTTTAAATTGTTTTAATTTTTACATGTCTTAATCCTTGTTACAAGATGCCTTGAGTTTTTGTTTTTTGGTTTTTTTTTTTAAAGGCAGCTAATAAATTAAAATACTACTAATAATGGAGTTTATTGTGTTTTTGTGTAAAGTCACTCTGTGGGGAAAATACAGTGGAATGCACACCTAGATATCAGGGTAGTATAGCACAGAGAAGAATCAGATGGCTTCATATGGATGGGTGCATCCTCTCCTATACAGGTGGTGTTCCTTCCAAAAATGGGGAAATCAGCATCCTGAGCTCCTATTTTTAATTACTCCTATTGCACATTGCCCTTGTAACAAGGAAGTCAAGGTAGTCTGAGTCTGCAAGAGTCACTGCTTCATATTTAAGCTTCACAATTGACCTGTTGCAAAAATAATAACCGGTTCAAACCGTAATTGTCTTCTTGGCCATCACACAAATGAACATCTTTTATTGTGGAGCCAAGGAAATTATACATGGGAGTGTGGGAAGATGCACTTCAAGCTCCTGATCCAAGTTAATTCCTCGGAAGGGGCCTAATGCAATGAGTGACTTGCATTTCTGTTGCCACTGGTGCCGGAGCCCACCAAAACCTGGCATCTGTTTTCTATGCCAAGCCACAGAATCCTGGCATATGCATGCTATTTATTCATATACAAAATATTGCTGTACTGCCTTTTGTTTAAAACCCTCGTATTACCTTTGAAGCTATATTAAAAACACAGCAACTAAAATTAAGGAAGTATTCAAAGTTAAAACAAAAACGAGCTTTTCCACATCCAGTTTTTATTGTGCACTCATCATGTCCTTCTCACAGTTGCATGTGGGTTATTTAGACAATGATGTTACCCTCCAATATGCCTCAGTTTTTGCTTTTTGGGAGGTGTGGGTGGGAGAAGAAAAGGCAGTATTATTTAAAGAAAGCGAAACAAAACACCGTCTCGACTTGTGTGATTGTGTACTCCGGGACAGCACATTGCCACCTAGGGGTTATTGCATAGGAAAAGTAGTAAAGGAAGGGCTCCGTAACGAAACCGAAAGGTGATACAGTAGATTAACAGAAGCACATAGAAAAGCCCATCTAGATAACATGCATGAAGAGGCTAGTGGAGCAAACATATCACAACTGCCCACTGAAGGGAAAACAGGAAAGAGCCAGCTGGACCTCGCCGGGATGGGTTGGCTTGGGGAATTCCATAACTGGAACTCTGCTGCTTAAAATGGCCCCTGTTTCATGTCCTTGGGAACTGCATTAGCCTTGGTGGCAGAAGGCTGAGCCAAGCCTTGGAAGATGATTGCAATTCATGCGTGCAAAGGGGCCGTCTTTTAAATATCCTGCAGAAATAGTAACTACAGATGCCAAAGTAGCTGCATAGAAAATTTTTCTCCCACCTAGTAATAATTTTCCCACAGATTGGGGGTGGGGTGGGGATTTCTTTTTGAAGTATTTCTATGATACTTTTTGACAGCTACCCCCGAAATAGCTTGCAACTACTAACACGTCTGTTAAAAATGAAGAAATGTTCAAGCTATGAATGCAATCAAAAGAGGCAGAGAAAGCTGTCTGGGGAAACCATTCAGAAAATGAACTGGAAAGCAAGACACAAAGGCAGATGTTAAATAAAGTAACAGATCATGAGTTAGCCATTGGAACGCTTTGGGAAATAAAATGGCTTTAACCTGATGCTTAAAGGGAGCTAACTCCCTCACTGGCTTGGATAGACACTCCATAAGTGGGGCACTTCCACCAAGGGGACTCTTTCCCTTTCTGGGTGCTGCTGGCTTTATGGGCATGCCCACTGGACACACCTGCCCCTCTCCTCCTCCTCCTCCTCCCTATTTCTATACCATCCACTAGCCGAAGCTCTCCAAGCAGCTATGCAACTATATAGATGCATATATAAATACATTGCATAGGGCAAATGGTATGATCTCCCTAAGAGACTCTTCAGAAGTGTAAAATCAGGGAACTGCAGTTGTGTACTTACATGCCCAGGGTCATGTGAAAAACTGCCGGACAGGAGCTGCCTTGTTTTGTCCAGGGAAAGAACAATGCTGTATCTGTGTAATGCCCAAGGCAATGCCAGCCTCTGAATGGCACTGTGTATTTCCTTTGTTGAAGACCTGGCCTAAGGAAGGAAAAGGAAAATGGGGACTCAAAACATGGTTGCTTTTTATCCTTCCCCTGGAGACAAAATAGATCTGCAGTACCATGATGATTTGCTTATTTTGGACCTTTGATCAAAAGGCAAGGAAGAAGCACTTCAAATGTGAAACAGTTTTAGAATCTGTATTCAGAGGGCCTAAACTGAGGTTGATTCCGATGCATGATTTTAAATGCATTTTATTTTTGTGCTTGTATATTTAATTAAAATGGCATGTACTCATGTAAAGGTGGTAAAGGAAAGGATGTTTTTGGAGGGCCTTCATTCACATGGTCCCCATTCTTTGGAGACAACTTGATGACATGTAACAATCACCACCTCCATATAGCATGCTATATTTATATTAAAAAGATATTTATATTAACCTGCTCATCAGAGAATACTTACAACCCTGTTAACCCCTTTTTGTCTGACTAAGGCTCGTTTAGTTTTCAAAGGCATATGTCCTAATCTGATACCTGTTCAGTGCTTTCTTATTAAATGATAGCAAAATGCCCATCAAAAGCCTGGATTGGGCAGGTATGGAAGCTGGACTGGCACATTGCAATGCATACCTCTGTCCTCTCTGTGAGAGACTTCGCACCTGCATGGAGTCCCTGGCACTGAGGACATCAGCAGCGTCTCCAGCGCCCTGCACTGTATTTGTTCCACACAGCTGTGAATTGCAATTGTAGTGAGGATGAGAATAAAGTGGTGCAATTTATGATATAACAGGGATTAAGCTTTCTTCTTGCCCCTGGTCATCCTGCTGATATAGATAACTCCACAGCATGATCATAGAAAAGAGAGAGCTGTGAGAAAGAGGTCCTACGTGATCTATACAGACCACAGAAAAAGGGATGCTGTATGGTGTGGTGTTCAGCATTCCAGCCACGCCATCCGTACTCCCATTTTCCATTTTTTTCTGCACAACCAGCATCCCACACTCATTGCCCATGCTCAGTCCTCAATGCATTTTCTTTTAATTTGGAGGGGAATTTCCTACTTGAAGTCCCCCCCCCCCAAAGATTTCTTGTATTTCTGCAAACCTCAAAGTCCATTTGGATTTGCTATGTATATATATTGCTTCTTCAGATTGATTTAATTATACTTTTGTATTTGTCTTTCCTCTTCTCACTTCATGCAGAGGTGTGGAATTACTTCCAACGGGTTTTGGTGAAGAGATATGCCATTGAACGGAATGGAGTCAATATTATCACTGGACCCATCTTTGATTATGACTTTGACGGTTTACATGACACGCCAGACAAAATAAAAATGTAAGAATCTTTTGTTTTAGGTGGCAATCCTAGGCACACTTACTCGGGAACAAACTCTCCAATGTAGGCCCTTTTTGTCTGAGTAAGACTTGTTTAGTTTTCGAAGGCATACAGTATGTCCTGCTCCGATGCCTGATTTTCAGTGCATTCTGTTCAGTGCTCTTAATCAATTTTTATTTCTTCCTTGCAAGGGATTACTTTCTCCAGATCATGTCAGTCAGTATGGTGTGGGGATGCCAGTGTTAGTTTGGAGACTCAGGAAACCTGGGTTCTAGTCCCCACTGTGGGGAGTCACAACCCGCTTCACAGGATTGTTATTGTAAAGATAAAATGGAACTAAGTAGGCCGCCTTGCAAGAAGAAAGACAAGATATAAATGCAATGTTAACAGTAGCAAAAATAATCAGATTGGCTTGAAAAAGCGGGATTTCCTTCTAAAATTAAATCAAAAATACTTATTTGCAGCATTTAAAAATCCACAACTCATGTTTCTCTATAAAATAAGCTCCAAGCAGCTTAGCAAAAATTCATAAAATACATCAAGCAAAGTAAAAACTATAGTCCTTCATGCCCTACCAGAGTTTATCTAGTGAGTTAACGTAAACAGGGGAAGATTAACCTGCTATAAAACCTGTGAGAAATAAAGCATCATTGCCTGAAGACTGTGTCCACAGAATTTCTCTAGGAAGGAACTTCTACAACAAGGATGCTATGTGGGAAAAATCTGCATTGTGTTCCAACCAACTAGACTGCCAAAAGTGCATGGGCACCAATGTTGGCCTCAGGGTGGGAAGGCAGGATTGCATGGGAGGATATAGGGTTCTTCAAACAGCTTAGTCCCAATTAATTCAGAGCTTTGTATGTAAGGGCCAGCCCCCTGAACGGTTTGCAAAAATTAACTGTAAGCAGTGCCAATGAAACAAAACTGGACTGATTCGATCAGCAAAGCAGGCTTCAGAAATCGGTATGGCTGTCATATTTTGTGTCAGCTGAAAGTATTGTGTCCAAATACTTTTCTGATCCAGCCCCATGTAGTATGTTTGAAAGTAATTCAGTTTGGATGTGAAGATGGCATTCTTGACAAGGCCCAGATGCCCTTCATTAGGAAAGGACATAATGACTGGAATAGCCAAGGCTGTGCATGGAGCCTAGTCGTGGGCTATCCCTGAGAACCTAGGAGCAAGGCTGGGTCCAGAAACCTCTCCGAGTTCTTCAGTGTTTATGTTAAATTAGGGTGAGGGGCCTAATACAACCTCCAGCATTACATGAAGTTGTTTTCCTAAGGAAGTACTTCTCTGGTTGGGATTACAATCAGGAAGGAATTAGGAGGTATTGCAATGCTATCATCGTCTTTGAAGAAGTCTGTATCCAGGCTCCAACGTGGCAAGTTTCACCAGCATTTTTTGCCTCTTGGGTAATCACAAAATCCACAAGTCTCTTGTAACTCACAAGAAAGCCACCAATTGGCTGGATGGCATTAGCTGCAGCTGAGAAGTTAGCACCTTCTTATTGTGCCTTAGAAATAAAAAACAGAATTATTTGTCTTTGAAAGGGATTATATTTTAAGATGTGTTGGGAACTAAGAGTAATCCATATGGTGATGGGTTTGAAGGATTTGGCTGACCTGTTTGCAAATCTCCCGCCACCTAGTTTGATCCTTTGTCTGTGAGAATTTTGAATTCCTTCTGTATCCTATATCTATATCTGTATCCCTTCTGATGGGTAGCAAAAATTGGTAGATCTTTTCTCAGAAACATTTCCAGTATGTCTCCTTTTAGAAGAATTTGTAAAACAATAACAACATTGAAAGCATTTCCTGTCTTCTAGCTATGTGGAAGGAAGTTCAATTCCGGTTCCAACCCACTACTATGCAATCATCACAAGTTGCCTAGATTTCACGCAACCTGCTGACAAGTGTGATGGACCACTATCTGTGCTGTCATATATATTCCCACACCGGCCTGACAACGATGAGAGCTGTTTAGTAAGTCCAAAGAGATTCCTGTTGGGTTTTTAAATTACAACATGAATGCATCAAAACAAAAGATGAAATAACTTCTTTTAATCTTGATGGGAGTCTTATTCAGGTCTGTGATTCTCACAGTCATGGTTCAGATTTCTAAAACTGGGTCAAAAGCTGAGCCAATCAAACTTTTGGTTAGTCTTTTGGAGTTGAGTGTAGAACTGGGGTCTCTTCTGGAGCAGATGCACAGAAATGATAAGGGAGTGTGAATAAACCATACATTTACAGGATTATGTAAGCTGCCCTGGATCTTTTTCAGTAAAAATATGGGGTATAACTAAATAATAATAATAATAATAATAATAATAATAATAATAATAATAATAATAATATGGTGGCCCAGTGCCAGAGCTTCAATGACTAAGAGGTATCTAACTTAAATGTAAGCCAAATTCAGGGTGCTAAATTGTGACTTTATTCATAGTCATGACACACCAGGCTTTTTTAAACCAAGCCTCAATAAAGGATATGTTTTAATTTCCATTGTCAGTCAACAGTGGAAACTGGCAGGAGGCCTGCTTCATAGTTGTGATCGGTTGTCAGCCTGGTTTCTAATAGTAGGCTACCTTCATTCTTTGAGACTTTTATCCTGCCAATTGCTCCACGGAGCCCCCAGGATGGCTTAAAATATATTGTAAACGAACAACAAATAATCACAATAAAAGCCCATTACCCATTGCAAAAACACGGGTCCCCAGATTCCGAGGATATGAAATGGTCTTCTCAGTTGGTCCAGGGAGCAGGACTAGAACCAGTGCCCAGAAGCAGAGTTCAGCTGAGCAGTCATTAGAAGCTTTGCAGAAAGAGAATTCAGCAGTGGACTGACTGCCATGAGAGGAGGCCGGCTCTCTTTTGCTGGAGGCATTAAAGCAGAGGCTAGAACAATGGGAGAACTGTGTTTCTCCTAATGTGCCTGCACTCCCATCAGCCACAGCTGCCATAGTTGTGGATGATGGGAGAGCTGCTTTTTCAGGATTTTGAAAACATATTAACTGGCCTTCCTATTTAAAAGATTAAAAAGAAGCCAACTGATCCAATATGAAAACCACGCAATCACACATTAAAAGATAAACACCAAGCAGTCAGTTTAGCTTAGAAAAACGGGGAGTAAATGGGGTGTGACAGAGCCACACAGGATTGTGTGTGGCAAGACATTTTTCTCCCTTTCCCATGATATGAGACCCTAATGAAGTGGATTTCTGGGAGATTCAGAGTGGATGAAAAGGAGGACTACTTCATACAGTGCAGAATTAAACTATGGAGTTCACTTCCAATCTAGAAGCCTTTGAAAGGGGACTGAACAAATTCATGGGGAATTAGAGAAATTCTCAGAGGATAAGTGGCCCAATGGCTACTAGTCCTGATGGCTAATCAGAAGCAGTGTGCCTAATATGCTGTGAGTTGTTTCCCTTTTTTTCACATTCAAAGCCACAGACCTTCCCTGGAAAACATTCTTTATTCTCCAAAGTGTATTCCAGAAGCACAGTGACCCAGAATGAATCTCTGAGCATGTACAGAGCGGTTAGTTGAATCAAATCCAGTATTAACTTCTAGGAGTTCTCCTTATGGGTATGCACAAACACTTTCAGGGGAAGGCTTATGGAAATGAGCATGCCAGCTCTCAGCACATTGACCCTCTAACTGGGGAACCCTTCTCTACCGATGCCACATCGTGGGGCTGAGAGCTGTACCCATTGGGTCTGTCTCTGAGAAGCTTCCCTGTTCTAAGCCCTTGCTGATAGCGGCCCTTCTTGGTTGTTCTCAGAGGCTGTCGGAGCACCTGGGGAGTCTGGCCTTGAGGGAAGTGCCTCTGCTCCTCTCCTCTCAACCTCTGGAATTGGCCCACATTCTGAGCCCTCCCCACACCCCTGTCCTGAGTCCAGATAGGCCTGCCCCAAGAGCGACTGCCCTCCTCGCTCCTAAACACCTATGCACCTCCACTGCTGGGGAGAAAGCGTGGGCTGATGGTTTTGCACTCCTGTCCTGTTAGCTGGTCTGCCAGCACGTGAACAGCATGCTGGACTAGATGGACGCCTGGGCTGATCTACCAGGGCTCTTCTCATATTTCCACGTTCTTAAACAGCATCTCTTCCATGATCAACCCCCCCCCCACACACACACACACACAAACTTTAAAAATCAATTAAATCTAAAGCACTGAGATGTTAAACATTTAATATTTTGGCATCCCTCTCCTTTGCAGATATATCTCTGAGTGGTTCCTCACAAGTCATGCTCATTAAGTATATTCACACAGCAAGAGTATCCCTTTATCAAAATCAAGCACACTGCTGGTTTTTCCTTTTTCCTTTGTATTTTGCCATCTGTTTCTATTGACTGAAGCTGTGAAGAGGGATGGGCACTCATACAATGCGGGAAGTGGATGAGCCACTTAAAATAATATGCATAACTACTTAGGTAGTAATGCACTAATTAATCACGCTAAGTAGCAGTTGTAATGCATCGTCAGTTCTGTCAGTTTAAACAAACTGAAAACCTGCCCAGAGGAGTGGGGAGGGAGGAAGAGAAGAGATGAATTTTAACAATGTAAAGGTGAGAGAATAAGACGATGCATAACAATAAAGATCGCTAAGTAAGCCAAAGAATCCACTAATTATAATTCTTAGACTATAAATGGCATGCTGACGGAACATCTGTGGTAAAATGGTCCTTCTCTTTAAACAATGAAGTGAGTAAGAGTCACAGAAGACTCGTATGGGTGGGATAATAACTATTTTTATGGGCTAGTGATTGTGCATTCAGTTGAAAGGTTGTGCTAATTAAGACACAAGCACTATATGTAAGGATACAAGTGCTGCAAAGGTTTTCTAGATGGAGATGCAGCAGCTGTACCGGCATCCAAGAAAGCAAAAGCCCAGAAACTGTGAAAGATGGGATAAACCTCATTCTTGTGCTTTGCTATCCAGAATGATTCTAATTTTGATAAGGCAAATGCTGTACACATCTGTCCTAGTAACTGAAATTGAAAGATTTTTCTACACAAGGAGTTCATGATCCTTGTGTAGAAAAATCATGGTGGTTTGTGGTTTAGTCATGGTGGCTTATGGCTTCGTTAGACAAAGTTGTGATCTTTCAGTTTTGTTTCTCTTTTTAAAGAGCACTTGCCCATTATGTGTGTGTGTAAGCATGTGGGGGGGTATTATTTCTGAAAGCGAAAGAAAATATATTTTCCTACTTGCACAATTGCAATATTCTGTTATAGCACAGTGCCACCTAAAGGTGTTATATCAGAAATGCAGAAAAGGAAAAGCTCTTTGTGCAAAAGTTCTCGATTCTGCAACAAAGCTTCAAGCTCACAACAGTTCACCATCTTGTATAGAAAAGCTCCGAGTTTCTGGTTTATTTCTTAAATCTATATCTGCTTTGAATTTTAGAATAATTTCAGGTGATACAGAGCCACCTGGTGGTGCTTCATAACCACCTGATTTGTTAGGTGCATCCATGTGAGAGGTTGGTTGTTGTCAATCTGGCCATGATGTGAAGCAAACTTTTAATGCCCTTTTGGTAGCATGTTTTCCATTCCCACACATGAAATGTAGGTCTGTTTGATAAAAGGTGGCCAATTATTCAGCACTACAGAAAGATGGCACAGATTTGCATAATATTTGTATGCATTAATTTATACATATAGATAAAATGTGGAAATAACTAATATAATTTAAATACAAATACAGGACAACTCACCATAAGGGGAAGACTTTAGCTTTGCTGTTGGCAGGAAACTTCAAGTCCCCCTTCTTACATTTCTTGCCCTTTAATCTGGGTTTGGATTGGACAGGTCTTCCAGCAAAAGATGCCTTCAGAGAGAGGGGCTGTCATCTCGAAAACAGGACAGAAGGCTACCCTAGTTCTGCGGCTTAAATAGAGTGAAAAGTAGAGGGTGTTTAGAAGGAAGTTTTAAACTTAGAGAAACTGTTAGATTTTTCTTTAGCAGTAAACATCTGAGCAAATCTTTCCATAATGTGTTGATTCTGAAAAACTGGAATGCCTGTGGAATAATTTCCTGCTCGTGTATGCTTCAAAACCAAAGCCACTTATTGAGTTAAATTAAGTTAAAGTAAGAGGACAAACAGGGAGTGATCTTAGAAGAGGGGGAGGGGAAGATCCATTGCTCTGGCGTGTGTTTCTTTGGTCTGGAATTTGTATTAGTGCTCAGAAACCTGTCAATTTAAGACCTGAGATAAAGCTAACTCATGTACGTCAGGCTTCACAAAACCAGGATCCTGGAAACTAAGGCTCATGCTTTTACAACATGGCTGGCGATCTGCAGTCATGTGTGAATTACCACCAATTGTGCTTGTGCATTCTTACCTTCCATGTAGCTGCATCTTGTGGGCCCAGATCTACATGGGGAAGATGGAGTGCCTGCAAGCAACACAGAGGCCCCGTGTTGCTTGGGCCCTATAGTAACTTAGGATACATATGAACCTTCCTATTCCTAGAGGAATCCTCCTGTGAGTTGATTCATACCTTTTTGTTGCTTGTAAGCAAGCACAGTTTGTGACAACACACTACATCGTTACTGACTACCAGAGGTGTTTTGCTGAAGCAGCAACCTTTGCTTCCCATTTCCTGGCTTTGTGCAGCTTGAACCAACATGCGAGAGCCTTCACTCTGGTCTTGCACTGACAGAAGTTCTCTGCCGGTGGATTTCTGCGGTTTTAAAATAGGAAATGTACCATTACAAAGAAATACAACTTAAAATGCAAAACACTAAAAATCAACACATGGTATTATTACTGAGCAGTTCTTGAAGGCCAAAGTCTCCAAGGTGTTGAGTTCATTACCTTTACAATGAAAGTGGATGGTTGATAAAAATAGAGTGTTACCTTTATCATTCATGCCATATATTTAACCTGGTCTGATAGCTTTGTTTCAGTGTTAAAGTTACATTGTTTCAACAGTACAAGGCAAGAATTTGAAGCTGTTTTACTCCGATATTTACCTGCAACCTGCAACATGGGGCTTACTTTTAATTTTTCTTTAAAAAAAGAGAGGCCCAAATGATGTCCCATTTCTGCAGCCTCATTTGCACAATAGGGTGAAAGTTTTGCATTACCATTGGCAGTAGCTACAGAGATCCTATTAGTAGCTGCCCTGTTTGTCCAGAAAACCCCTGGGAATCATGTCTTCTTGTTTTCAGAATAATTATAGCTGTTAAGAGCTATAAATATCCTGAAAGCCAGGAGAAAGAAGAGGGATGGGTGAAGCTTCGGCTAATTTTGGATCTGACTATAGGAGAAAGTAAACATTTATTTTCATTTTATTTATGTACTTTCCACCAATAAGGTACTCTGAAACCATAAAACCCTGCAAAATGCAAAGATCAATTATAACATAAACCAGCAACACCATAAACCCTAAAATAAAACGAATAACAGGAGACAACAGAGAATCCATTAGGAGCAGGGGGGCAGTGTATAAATACAAAACAAACAAATAATAAAGAGCTAAAACATTAAGATTAAAAAGCTTTTGGGAAAAAAAGAAGGGTTTTACCTGGTGTCCAAAGGACCACAAGGTAGCGTCCAGGTGAGCTGTTCTGGTGACGGCAGAAAGGTCCTTTCTCCAGTTGCCGACTGCCATATTTCATTTGGCAGGGGCAACCAGAGAAGCTCCTCAGAAGATGTTTCTAAGGACCAAGTTGATAGTTATTGGGAGGCGAATTTACCTACCAGTTCTTCTCAACATATAAAAACATCTTTCTACAAAAATTATAAACTATTATGGATGGTGGAACACTCTTTCTAAAAGGAGAGCATATATTCAGTAAAGTTGCTTTTCAATTCCAGAATTCTTCCGAGGATGAATCCCGATGGGTTGAAGAACTCTTGAAAATGCACACCGCCCGAATACGTGATATTGAGCAGCTTACCAGCTTGGACTTCTTCAGGAAGACCAGCCGAAGCTACACAGAAATCCTTTCTTTAAAGACATTCCTGTATACATTTGAAAGTGAAATTTAATCATCTCTTAAACTCAGCCGTTCCATTCTCTCATGAAGTGGTGTATATTTTTATATTATATTTATTAATTTGAAACAGGACATTAAAATTATTAGTGTGTTTTAATCTTGCATCAAATCTTAAATATATTAAAGTTGTGTCAGGTTTTTTATTCTTTAATGTAGGGCATATGTGTTTGGTCTTTTTTTCCTTTCCTTTTTCCTGAGAGAACGCTCAGAGTGTTAGCAACACTTGAGTCTCTTGGTCAAAGCTTCTAAAACGGTGCTGCAGAATCAATTACTTACTTTGAGGAATCTTAATTTTTCCAGCACTCCTTTGCCTCATTCTTTTTTTTTTTTTAGTCCTGTATTGTGTATCAGACAGGTAAAATGACAATTACTATTAACTATGTGATAAGTGTATTTAAGCTCCATAGAGAATAGAAACTTAAATATAATAAAACCACACATTCAGTTTTTACTTTGTGCTCCTTTCTCAGAGAACGTTTTGACTATCTAGGATTTGCTGCCATGGAATGCTGTAATGGTCACTGATTCGGAGAGCTTTAAAGGGGGTTGCACATATTCATGGAGGGTGACACTATCATCATCATCATCATCATCATCATCATCATCATCAATGGGTACCTGATGGCTGTAGCCTATCCACCGCATAGGAAAAGCAGCATGTCTAGGTAGCCCAGGAGAACGTGAGTGGGAAGGTACCCTTGCACTGAATTCCTGTTTGTGTCCATCCACGTGCAACTAGTTGACCACGGTGTGAACCGAATGTGGGCTGAGACGGATCCGATCCTTGGGCTGATCCAGAGGGGCTCCTTCTATGCCAGACTTTGTCCACTACTTCCCCAGCTGACATGTGCCCAGCCTATTCCTTATGCTGTGCACAAACAGAACACAACTGACTGACAATGCTAAAAATGATCCTCACATTTTTAAGCACAGCAGACTGTTTATGAGTAAGACCCTTAAGCTCACAACTTCTGATTAAACGTGTCTTTATTTTCAGGCAAGCAGGCAGAGCCTGGGGACCTGGGGTAGAGCTATAATGTTGGTCACCCAGGTTCTTCCGTGGCTGGTGCTTTTCAAATGGGTCCTGGTACCTTCAGATGCATGGGGTCCTAACTCCCACCATCTTCAGTCAACAGGGTTGTGGCGGCTGGGGACGATGAGAGTTGCAGTTCAGCATACCTGGAAGGAAGCAGAGTGGGAAAGGGTTGGCTGTCCCAACCCTTCACAAGGCCCCTGGCTGCTCTCATAAATGGTTCCTCACCGGTACTCCGAGGGATCCAGGTGGCTCAGTCTCACCTGGCGTCTAGCATGGGGAGGGGCAGCCAGGTGAACGTGCTGCCTCCTTTTACTTTTCTTCTTCTACTGGGCTGTTGTTTCTGGCTTCACAGGGCTTCTGGCGGAAGAACCACACAGCAATGTGTGAAGCAGCACGCCGGTGCCACAAGCCACATTTGGTGCACCAGGGCTCACATCAGGGCTATTCATGCCTGCACGCCGGGTCACAAAGCTTCAGCTGGATTTGCACACACTTCTTGAGTGCCCCTGAGGATCCTACAGAAGGCGAGAGGTAGCCGTGCTATTGTGGGTCGGCAGAGACATTCAGAGATGCTAATCCAACAGTCAAACATCTTGTCTTCACATGAGAGAGCAAGGTATGTAACATGCTGCTTTGGGACACACACACAAGCACACAATGAGCACTTTGAAACAGCAACTTCATTCCTGTCAGGATTGCTTACATGCATTGGATCTAGAGAAATTACATTTAAAAATATTTTGTATTGTTTTCTTAAAAGAAATAAAAGGAACGAAATGCAAAGAGAAATAAGAATGCACAAGAATGCAAAGATATTACACAAATGTAATCTATAAGTTCATAACTTGCAAATTTTCCCCAAAACCAAAACTTTCTATCTTTCTGTCAATTAGCACTTTGTCTAAGCTAGCAAAAAAGATAATTCTAGTTCTCTAAAGCAATACATTTTCAAATCATTTTGAGTCAATTATAAATCATCAACAATATTTTATGAGCTTCATTTTGTTTTATATTAATTAAACTGCATATAATAGAATTTCCATTTATCATTAAATTCTTCCATTAGTCTTCTGTTTACATAATTAGTTAATCATTTGCATTTTACACCCCTTGCAATGATTTATCGCTAACTTGTTCCACTGAGTTAAATGTGATTTAACTTAATCTGGCTCCAGCTCAGGGATTTTGAACATCTTTGTTCGTGTTTCAAAGCTGATAGAATTCCTGCTATTACTATACAACCCTACAAAGGACTTTGCTCACACTACTTGAACACATAGATACTTAAGATGTTTTGCTAAGGTTGTTCTTGTGTTCTTTGCCTAAGTTGGACTGGCTAGGAACAATAAAAGGGATGGGGTGGCGGAAGGGCACAGGATTGCTTGCTTTGGTCTAAAGGTAGGGAAAGGCAACATTATGGCTGGTGTCCAAATGTGGCTTGCGTGGCCCTAGGATGAATCCCTGACTTGCTGCAGTATGTGCAGTGTGGTGGAGTGACTTGTTTCAAGCAGCATTATGGCAAGGATGGGGAGAAGTCAGGGAAGGAACCGGTATTTAAATACACAGCAAGTCTTTTTCAAGTGTGGGCTCTGTAAGTGGAAATGAGTAGCAAGATATTTCAGGCTGACAAGCCCCTCTGTCCCTTGGGGAGGGCTTTTGAGGGCTGCAGTGGAGGGAAAGGGTTGGGTTTGAAAACACTGTTGTGGGGTTCAAATGACTTCATGCTTGTCCCAAGGCAGAAGGCAGTTGGGATGCCTGCATAGCTCAATCGGAGCGTGTAAGTAGTACAAAACCGAGGCTGAGTGCTATGCCATGTGCAGGAGCCTGTGTGATGTAAGGATTAGGGTTGCAATTATGTAATGATTAGACAAGGGACTCGGGAGATCTGGGTTCCAGTCCTTGCTTGGCCATGAAGCTTTGGTCCAGTCACTGATTCTCAGTCTAACCTACCTCGCAGGACCGTTGCGTGGATAGAGCTCACCTTGGGTCCCTTGCAAAAGGAAGAAAAGGTGAGATATAAAGGTACAAATAAAAGAAAAGCCTAGAATGAATGAGAGAGAGAGCTTAAGAATGTAACAGCCCTGCCAGCTCAGACAAAATGAATCTAATAAGGGGGCCTGGGCTTAGACCAGATGTTGCCTTACAGATGCCAGTGTGTCCCCAGGCACCTTGCCTATGCAGTGCCCTGCCCCTCTTGACCTCTCCTTTCTTTTAAAGGTATTTTCAGAAAGTTTTTATTGGCTCTACAGATTGCTACAAAACTGAGTGAGGGACTGCATGCTTGCTTGCTTGCTTGCTTGCTTGATTTCCCACGAATGCTTCTGCAGACCTTCTTAGGGCATTTAGATGGAGAAGGGCTGCAGGCCAAAGCTGCCTTCTGGGGCACGGCCAGCCTGCAGCCAAGAAAAGGAAGTGTGTGGGGAGAGAAGAGAGGGTCCCTGTTGCTGCTGTCTGGCAAAATGTGTAGCGGGAGCACAGGGAGCAGCGGGGTCTGTGGAGAACCAGGGTGGGGAGGGCAGAGGTAAAACAAGGGAGGAGCAGGAAAGACAACAGGATCGAGGAAGTGAGAGGTAAGTTGACGTGGAGGTGAGAGACAAAAAGAGATGACTCGTGTCCCATCTTTTGGGCAGGTGAAGTGCCCTTGGCGAGTGCCCCATTGTAGCCATTGTGTGGTGGCGCCCAGGAAAGTTTCTCAAATGTGCCTGAGGAGGTTGGAAACCCTTGAGGTGGCCACTTCTGCAGCTCAAAGAAAAAGAAGAGACATTGTCAAAAGAAGGGCAATGGATCAGCATAAACGTGCACATCCTATCCTCTCTGAGCACCCGTGTGGAGATCATGACTATAACTTAAATAGAAAAAACAATGCATCTCACTGTTGTCAGGAGTACTGCTGCCAGGTGACATGGTTTGGTTTGTTCTCCAGCAGTTGAGAACAAACACTTCTCAACTTCCTTATAGTCCTTATAGTTGTAGTCCCCTAGTCCTTTGTTTTGGAGTTGGGTGAGGACAGATGTCTTCAAACAGGGGATGCCTTCAAAGAGATCACAATCCTCTGCAAGGTAGGAGACACACTCGCACCCTTCTAACCAGATGTGTCTTGGAGGGCCACAATAAGGACAGAAGTGCAAAACCTTTTTCGGCTGATATTTCCACACCCCTGGCATTCAGAGGCTTCCTGTCTCAGATCCTGAAGACAGTATAGAGCCATCAAGACTAGTCGCCATTGAGTGCTGTGTAGCGGAGCGGTGAAGGATTTGGCCATCTGATATCCCCACTGTATTATTAGCTCCTTTCACTATTTTACAGGGTGAACTGCAAATATTCTCAATTTCTGAGGACATTCAGTGGTCTGACTAATCCTTATTAAAGGAGATGTCCCCATGGGCCCCGATTATAGCCCTCCTATTAAAGTGAGCATTGATTCTCACAAACATGGATTAAAAGCACAGACCTCTCCACAGAGAGGTGCCAGGAGCAGCTACGATACACTTTGCCTTTGGAAGGGAACCACAGTTTCCAGTTTTCAAAGTCGGTCAGTCTCACCATGTTCTTGGCAACGCGCACCGTCGCTTTGCTCACACAGTGCAGTTCCTAACCCGGCACTAAAAATAATGTCGATTGATTTTCCAGAAGCAGACTCACACCGCTGAAAACAACGTTTGATCTTTCAGAAATAGGCCTGAGGGCTGCCATTCACAGAGTGTATCTGCATTGCTTGCCCCTTGAGCATCTGCAGTCCGGAAAAATAATTGCATTTTCCTGCAGTTTAGCTCAGAAAAAAGGCAAGTAAAGAGGAGACTTAATAGAAGGACATAAAATTAGTTGTGGGTGGAGAAAGAGGGTAGGTAGAAGTACTTCTTTCTATCTGTCCTGAATCTCTCTCCATTCAGCTTCATGTGTTTGGGATCAGGTTCTACTGTTATGAAATACTAACATTAATAATAACAGCAACAATAATAGCAGTCATTTCTATACTCCCCATAGCCAAAGCTCTCTGGGTGGTTCACAGTATTAAGTCACCCATCCATATTTCAACTGGGCCCAACCCTGCTTAGTTTCCAAGATTAGACATGATCAGGCACTTGAGGCTATATAGGGGGTCTCAAACTCAACTTACCTGGGGGCCGCTGGCAGTAGAGTCTGGGTGAGGCTGGGCCGCATCAAGTATTTCTCCACCGCGGTGGTGGTGGGCTGCTCATCCCACGGCCAGCCCGGGCGCCGCCGGCACTTTGAAGGCCGCAGGACCCCTCCCCCGTGCCCTGTCCATCCTGGCAATTGGCCTGCGGGCCGCGAGTTTGAGACCCCTGGGCTATATGGCAGCTATATGAAATAGGGAAGAAAACTTATCCTCCTCTCAAATGCTAAACTCTGAGGCTGTCCCATGCAGCTGATTGGTGGGAGATTCTGATAAAAGG